TCCTCTGGCTTTACATTAAACTTAGAAATAATGGGGGTTTTGCTGTCACTGTCGAGATTTGCCATTGTCCTTGAGACATGAGACAAAAGCAATAAAATGAGTACTAATTGAGAGGTACAAATGAATAGTAGGAAAAAAGATGTTTTGTTTTTTTAAGTAGGTTGTTCATTATCTGCTAGAAAATCCAAGACCAACAGCTAAAAATCTATAAGAATAATAAAGTTCTATAAAACAGCAAGGAACAATGGCAACACCAAAAACTAATGGCTTTCCTTCAGTAGCCACAACGTAAGCCTTACTCTGACTACTCCTACAGCACTGTAGCACCCAAGTTCAAGCCTCTCCATGGTTTACTTGTTTTTGTTTGTTTGCTTAGAGCTCTATAGTTATACATAGTAGTTGGGATTTTCTACTTGTTTCTTAAGCTTCTAATTGGATTCCTTATTTCCATGCTTTGGCCCTATGATCATTCTTTCCACAGGCAGAGGTGTACGTGAAGTGTAGTTAGACTCCTGCACTTAGAGCCATTCAGAAGCCTCTCAGTCTGTGACATCCCTCCTCTAGTCTCTTTATAACATCCTGTTTTCTTGGGGCTGGGGTTGTGGCTCAGTGGTAGAGCGCTCGCCTCCCATGTGCTAGACCCTGGCTTCGATCCTCAGCACCACATAAAAATAAATAAGTAAAATAAAGGTATTGTGTCCAACTACAATTAAAAAGTAAATATTAAAAAAGGTCCTGTTTTCTTCTTAGCACTCTGATAATTTGAAAATATGCAGCTTCTGTGTGTCTAATTCCTGCCTGAGGATATGTTCCATGCGGACAGGGAGACCCACCCTCTTGTTATTTCCATACATACTACATTAGGAGAAAGCCACATCAGTAAATATTTGCTGGAGAGATTGCTTAAATATTTTTAAAATGACAATTTTTGAATAGCTGTAGATTTACTGAATACCTGAGACAATTTATTCAGAACTCCTAGGTACTTTGCACCTAGTTTCCCATTGTGAACATCTTACATTATAGTATGTTGCATGTTATAGTTAATGACAAGTCCTTTTTATCTAGAGTCCATATTTCATTCAGATTTCCTTAGTTTTAAACTAATAGTTTCCCTTGTGTGTACTAAGCACCTGCTCTATTGCTCTTCCGCTGACCTACACCCCAGGCCTAATATCCTGCTTCTCCTCAGGATCTGCTTCAGGGCACCACGTTGTATTAGTTTCTGTTTCCTAGGCTCCTCTTGGCCTTCGCAGACTCTGCGCACACACACTTACTACTGCTTTGAAATCTACCTTTAAAGTCTTTTTATTTTAGGGCTGGGGTTGTGGCTCAGTAGTAGAGCGCTCGCTCTCACATGCAAGGCCCTGGGTTTGAACCTCAGCACCACATAAAAAATAAATAAAATAAAGGTATTTTGTGCAACTACAACTAAAAAATAAATATTTAAAAAAAATATTGTTTTAGACTTTAATCTTTTTACTTTTTTTTTTTTTTTTTTTTTGTATCAGGGATTGAACCCAAGGTGCTTAGCCAGTGAGCTTCATCCTCAACCCTTTTTATTTTTTGAGACAGGACCTTGCTAAGTTTGAACTTGTGATCTTCCTGCCTCAGCCTCCCAAGCCTAGCTTTTTACTGTTTGTTAACTCTATTTGAGCAAAAAGCTCAAATTTAACATATTCAGTATGTATGCCTGATTTTCCACAAATGGATCAAGTGTGTAGTTTTTTTTTTTTTTTTATCTCAGACCTGTTTGGCTACACTTACATGTTTTAATATAGAGATCTGTCATTGTCCATTTTGAAGGGTTTTTCATTCCATCTTTTATTTTTCCATTTTAAATAATTGAGTGCTTAGAATATTCTTGACTTTTAAGTCAATTGATATGTTATTACATTTTAGTTTAGTAATATTGTGGAAAGAAAATGTGGCCACTTTGGAGAATTCAGTTTTTGTGGCTTACTATAGGGCCACATTTTTGTGAATGCTTCACGTGTGAGAGAAGAGCATGACTGGGTGAGGGTTTGTGTGCCGCATGCCTTGGACAAGCTTCGCTCTGTTGTTCATGTTCAGGTGACTGAGATTAGGCCACCAGCTCTGTTCTCTGGGACAATCCCCCCCATTCTGATCATGGTCATACAGTTTTTTCCCCAAACTTATGAGATCGTTGCCTTATATATTTGTATTGCTTTAATATTTTATTTTGGAAATTTTCAAACTGGCTGAAAAGTCTCAGCAGTTCTCATAAACACCCTTATGCCTTTCCCTTATTTCACCAGCTCACCAATAACATTACCACATTCTCTCTCTCTCTCTCTCTCTCTCTCTCTCTCTCTCCCCCCCCCATCTATAAACCAGATCTTCCAACAAAATATTAGCAAATCTGAACCTATATGTATATAAAAAGAATTGCATACCATGACCAAGTGGGATTTTACCAGGCATGTGAGGTACATTTGAGAATAAATTAATGTAACCCAACATATATCAACAGATTAAAGCTGAAAAATCACATGATCACATCAATAGATGCAGAAAAAAGGATCTGGCAAAATTGCACACCTTATTCATAACAAGCTCCCCTCCCCCACTACCAGAGATGAGGAATAGAGGAGAACTTTCTCAATTTGATAGAACATGTCTGTAAAAATTCTACAGCCAACATCATACTTAATAGGGAGAAATGAGATGTTTTCCTGCTAAAATAAGAAACAAGGCAAGGATGTCCAGTCTTACCATTTCTTCTCAGTACTCACACCAGAAATCGTAGCTAATCCAACAAGACAAGAAAGGGAAATAAAAGGTATACTGACTGGAGTGGAAGTAATAAAACACTTTTTTCTTGTAGATGATATGATCATCTGTAGAAAGTTCCAAAGAAACAACAAAGAAACTCCTGGAACTAGTAATTATTAGAATATAAGATTAATATAAGAAATCAGTTGGTCTCTTACATCCCAGCAATGAACAATTGAAATCCAAATTTAAAAATGCAACACCATTTACATTAGCACCAAGAACTCCCACATACACACCTATGTATAAATCTAACAAAACATGTACAAGATCCGTATGAGAAATACTACAAAACTGATGAAAGGTACCAAAGAAGACCCAAATAACGGAGAGAGATTCCATGTACATGGCTAGGAAGATACAAGGTGAAGATGTCGGTTCTTAGCCAAGTTGATAGACTCAACCCAATGCCAGTCAATATTCCAAGTAAGTTATCTTCTCGATGTTGATAAACTGATTCTAGAGGTATTACGGAGAGGCAAAAAGCCCATGATTATCAACACAATATCAAAGGAGAGAAACAAAGTCAGAGAACTGACAGTATGGTGTGGTATTAATGAGAAGAAAGACAGGCAGATCAGAACAGAATGAAGGGGGCCAGAAATAGACCCACATACCTATAGCCAATTATTCTTTAACAACAGAGCAAACTAATTCAATCGAGAAAGAATAGGCTTTTCAACAAAAGATGCTGGAACCAGACATTGATATAAAAAAGAAGACACAGAAACTTACATTGTTTATAAAAATTAACTTAGAATGAATCAGAGATCTATTTATATAAATGTAAAATACACATCTATAAAAACACCAGATGATAACATCACAGAAAATCATAGGTGATCTTGGGTTTGGTGAATGACATTTTTTTTTTTTTTTTTGGTGGTGCTGGAGATTGAACCCAGGGCTTTGTGCATTCAAGACAAGCACTCTACCAGCTGAGCTATATCCCCAGCCCTGGTGGTGATATTTTAAATATAGCATCAAAAGTACTTATCTATGAAAAAAAATTGAAATTTACTAAAAATAAAAACTTCCTCTTTACAAAAGACACTGTCAAGAAAGAAAAGCCACAGACTTAAGAGAAAAAATTGCAAAAGACATATCTGATAAATGACTATTTCCCAAAATATAAAGAGAACTTGAACAGAAAATGAACAACCCAATTTAAAAACTAGCCAGAAGATCTGAACAGACACTTCATCAAAGAAGATATTTAGATGGCATGTAAGCATGTGAACAGATGCTCCAAAACATGTCATTAGGGAATTGTGAATTAAAATAACAATGAGACACCACTGTATACCTATTAAAATGACCAAAATCTAGAAAAATGACACCACCAAATGCTGTCGAGGATGTAGAGCAACAGGAACTCTCATTGCTGGTGGGAATGCAGAAAGTCATAGTCATACTGGAGGACAGTTTAGCAGTTTCTTACAAAACTAAACATAGTCTTACACAATCTAGCATTCATGCTCCTTGATATTTCCCCCAATGAGCTGAAAATGGATGTCTACACAAAAGCATGCATGTAAGTGTGTATAACATCTTTATCCAAAATTGCCCAAATCTGGAAACAACCAAGATATTCTCCAGTAGGTGAATGGATAAACTGTGGTACATTTGTTCATTGAAATATTATTCAGTGATAAGCAGAAATAAGCTCTCAAGCTTATTGGAGGAACTTTAAATGCATATTGCTATGTGAAAGAAGCCAATCTAAAAAAGTTAACATATGATTCCAACTATATGGACTTCTGAAAATGGAATGGTTACTAGAGACAGTAAATAGATCAGTGGTTGCCAGGAATCTGGGGGGAGGTAGGGAGGGATGATTGGGTAGAAGTGTTTTAGGGCAGTAAGCCATTCTGCATGGTACTATGATGGTGGATACATAACATTATACGTTTTGTCAAAACACTTAAGAATGTACAACATGAAGAGCTGACACAAAATATGGATTTCAATTATTGTGTCAATATTGGCTCATCAGTGTAACATGTACCACAGTGACATAGAGGTTACTAGGGCATATCCGAGACAGGAGGAGGAAGAGGGGATACATGGGCACTCCTTTGTACTTTCTGATGAATATTTCTATAAACAAAACTGCCCCCCCAAAAGGCTACTAATAAAAACAACAACATTTAGGTCTCAGGGTATAAAATTTTAAAATGTAAAGAAAATACTAGTTAGCCATATTTATTTAAATATCTATTCAGAGTTTTAGTTTTTCAGAAACAAAATAATTTTTATTAGCTTTGGGACATTAAAACTTTACATATAACCATTACTGACAGGTATGTTGCCCTTTAGATTTCAGCATGAAACCTGAACAGTTGAATCTTCTATACAAAAATATCATTATTTTATAATGCCTTTGGATAATGCCCACAATATTAAACCAGTTACATTAACATTTGTTACAAAGCCATAAAATACATAAAAATGTCAGCAGCTGATAACATTATTTTTGAAAAGGAATATACAGTACTAATGTCCAGTCCATAAGGTGGCAGGTTTAAATAGAATAGCCCCCTAAGTTCAAAATGTCTGTTTTATATACCAATTTGAGAATAAAACTAAGAAAAAAAGCTGTACTAAGTGAAACCACTGCTATGGCAACTGAATCCATCTGCTCTGTCGAGCGAACACGAAGGTCAAAGCCGAGTCAGTGGCCTGCAGTGGCAAATGCTGCTTTGGGGACCGGCTGGCCCACTTCATCTTTGCCTGTGGTAGGAACATGGAAAAAAGTATTCTGCAAGTCAAATGAACAAGCATCAAACACATTTCAAAAACTTTCTTGATGCAATGACAAGAGAACCTTGACGTGTTCAATGTGAAGTCATTAAGCCACTGGGTCAGACACGCCACCAACTCACAGCCCTTGTGTTGGTCAAGTTCAAACAATGGGCTTTTTCTCCACTAAAATCTAGTGGAGAAGACATCTTCTATGTTAAGTGGAAATTTATTTCCAAGGAAACATACTGCTCAAGATTGGAATTGTCATTGAGCTCATAGTGTCAAAGTAGAAAAAAAAAATTTTACAGTCCTGCCATTGCCAAAGTGGGAGAGCAGAGCAGTAGCCAAGCAAGACCCAGAACTGACAGCTCACAGCAGTCCGCCTCACCACCAGGAAAAAACAAAATAAAAAACCTCTCAGCTGAATCACTGCAAAGTGATAAAATATCACATTGCGAGGCCAATATACAACAAAGGAAAATCAACACTTGAAACACTTATTTTCTGGAGGCATTTTTTAAAAAGAAGCTTCTTATTGTACTTACTATCTGTTAATTTGTAGATCAAATACTTGATACTTTGGCAAATAGTTTATTCAATACTTTGTAAAGTCCTACCCACACAGCAGCACTGTGGGCAACGATGCTAAGAAAATGCATTTCATTTCCAGGAAAGAAAATAGGAGATGATTTTTGCTCTTTGAAGTACCCACTATTGCATATTTCTTCCAGATCTCAGTAGAAATAGACATCTGTAGACATTTCCCAAGGTCAGAGACTTGCACATACTCTGTGGAGCAATGCTAAGGGTTCTCACCAGAGGTCCTACCGGTGGCCTCCGTACTTGGCCACCCAGTCTGTCCTCCCGTGCACTGAAGGGACTGGCTGTGCACGATTCAAGATATTTAGATTTTTTGCTGTAGGATTGTAGGTAGGTCCTGAAAATGGCCCCCGGCCAGTTTTTGTGTTCCAAGCATATTCTGAAAGAAATCAGAATCAGAAATTAGAATGTTATTCATTTGATTATCAAATTAAAAACAAGTCAGTTCATCTTCTCATTTTATGGGAGAAATTCAAATTTACCTTTAAAAGATTAAGATTTGAGATTTTTTTTTTCTAATTTTAAAAGCAAAAATTGTAGTAGTACAGTGGCACTATTAGGATTTTCGGTAGCTTGAGAGCTAACGTTTCTGATTTATCATTCTGCTGCTGCTCTATTTCCAATAGTTCACATTAAGACAGGCAACATTCAAGAAAGAAGAGATTCCTGGTTCAAAGTCAGTGAGCAGTACCCACAATGCAATATTCAAATGCAGCATCATTACAGAAAATATATTTGGAATTGTGGGTCCTATAAAACCTTGGCTTCATGGAAGTACCCATATAGGGTCCTATTATAGATTTTTTTTAAATGAAAATATGATTTCTAGAATTAAACTTCATTTTTCTTTTTTGGGGGCAGGGTGACGATGTCAGGGTTTCTCTCTGTTGCCCAAGCTGGCTTCCAACTTAAGATCCTCCTGCCTTAGCTTCCCAAGTAGATGGGATTATAGGTGTGCACCACCATGCCTAGCAAAAAACTTCATTTTTTTTTTAAACTGGGAAAATTATGGGTCATAACACAACTCCCTTAAGTGATGACATGTTCTAGAATCCCAGACCTTTAATCACAAGTTTTGTTTTATTTATGAATTTGACTGCTTAAAAATTTGCAAAAAAATTCAAATCTGCTAAATACTTGTTATCTCAACAATTGATAAGGTAAAATTGCTTAAACATCTCAAATAAGTGACAAAACAATAAGTCATTTTTACAGAGAACATTCTTCTCTTACCCCTTCCTTACTTCAAATTAGAAGCCAGTTTTCATAGACATTTTATCTGCGGGATGCTCAGTCTTTCCATTTGGGATTGAACCTTTTCACACTGACTAGTAGCTGCCATTCTGGGAGTACACTGAAATGAATCTACGCATTTGACACGCCTCACCTGAGCATTATCAGATCTACTGGCATGGTTTCCCTTGTTTTTCTTACACTTTACTGTAACACTGGGTAGCAGGAGCAAACCATGTGAGTACGTGGCTCTAACCTCAGCTTACAGTGAACAAAGCATGAGTGCAGAATGCCCTGGACCAAAAGCTGCCCTGACCACTGTGTAGATTGGCTGGGGCCGGAGGCCAACAGCTGTCCAAATGAATGGGCTGTCGGGTATTTCATCCCACTCTTACGAAGTCTAATCTCTCAAAGTCATTCAGAAGCTGGCTAAAAAAAGCAGGGAAATATGTAAGGCACTGTGTTTTCCAAGAAAAGCCCTTTCATTGTAATCAGTGGAACATAAAAAACATCAATCAGTTAAATGATCAAACTCACCCAAGAGGGCCACAGGTCAAAATGGCACCGTGGGCAGAGCAGAGAGGGTGTGAGGTTGGGAGCAGAGGGAGAGGGAGAGATGATAAGCCTGCCTGATTTCGGGGAAGGGGAAAGGGAACATGGTCTTAAGATAGTGGGAGAGGTTCCTGGGCTAGAAGTGAGGGGTTTGAGAAGTGCCAAAAAGAAAAGCCTTCTTCCAGGTCTCGACAGCCTCTGTCAAGTCCTAAATGCATTTAAGTCCAACTGTGTTCAGGCCGACATTTTTTAAAAACTTCTTAGAAAAGGAAATCATTTGCCAAGAAACTGGAAGTATTGAGATTTAAGATTCCTTTTCTAGAAATCATAGTGTTTTGGGACTCAAGCACCCTCAAGAAGAACCCAGTAGCTGACAACAGAGCCCAGATATCACCGCAGGGCCATAAATGCCCAGCTGGACCATGACCTGCACGTCACGGTCTCCCAGGAGCCGGGCAGTTAGCCCCATCATGTCGGGCTGTATGTTTATTATAAAAATTGCATTTATTCTACCAAGGGCATTTAACTTTTGTAGAAAATGCAAAAGGGGTTACAAAGAATTTTATCAATGCCACGATATAAATCAGATATAAAACTTCTGTACGGTGAAGACCATGGTGAAGCGTTTGGTAACAGAGCTAGTGTACACAGAGTGCTTAGCCCAGGCCCTGGGCACCCATTGGTGCCTGTATAAGAAGTCACTCCTTGCCATTCTGGTTGTTACTTTCAAAGCAGGGGATGAGGATGTATTAGGAAGTTTGTGGGGAGAGATTAGTTTGACTTTTCTTCTCAAAACTTGAGGGTGAGGAAGAAAAGCAGAGAGGGAGACTATGAGAGGAGAGAAAAAAGTCGAATAAATATGGTAATGACCTGGTTTTACTTTCTTGTGGGAAACTGCCACCCAGTGGGCAGACTGGAAGACACGTCTCCTACAGAACAGTGTTTTCCTAAGTATTTGCCTGGACCACTTGAGAGTGATTAATATTTACTTCTTTTTGTTTTACCTCTCCTCCTATCACCGTCTGTAGGAAAATAGGATAAGCTGAGTAAATGAAGAGAGGAAAAATTATGAGAAAGTATTTACTTTAAAAATGAAAACAGGAATACACATGCTAATCTGAGAATTAATAAATATATAAAGGCCTTGAATATCTTATAGATTTTTTTAAGACCCACTCAATTTCTAAGAGCAGGTATCCAGATAACAGAATGCTTTGACATGATTTTCTGCTTTTATATTAAAAATTGCTGCTAAGTCATGGTGAGTGACTCATTGAAAGGCTGACTTAAATATTTGAGGAATTCTAAAAATGACTGCTATATAGAAAATGTTTACTTGTATAGATAGATTTTGTTTCAGCAGAGAGGTAATGGAACAATTATTTTTACAGATAAAGCAACTGAGTACTATTTAAGACTTTACAATATGGTAAGAAAAAGTTAAAATGATTTAGTGTTTTTTTTTTTTTTTTTACATTTTGAGCTGTAATAGTGTGAACTTTAAAGACTGGAAATTTGAATCCATAGTTTCAATATATGATCCTGGTTAGTTTAGGCTGAGAATACTCTGGGGGTCAAATTGTAAATGAAAGGACAACTTTTTTTTTTTTGTTGTTCCAGGGATTGAACTTACTTAGGGACACTTGACCTCTGAGCCACATTCCTAGCCCTATTTTGTATTTTCTTTAGAGCCAGGGTCTCATCGAGTTGCTTAGCGCCCCACTTTTGCTGAGGCTGGCTATGAACTTGTGATTCTCCTGCCTCAGCCTCCCAGGCCACTGGGATTATAGGTGACATCTAGTATCTTTACCCAACTTCTGATTATCTGCTTATGCTTATTTTAGGTGCTTCACTAAGGATATCTATTTTAGATTAAAATAATTTAGAGAACATTCATAGCCAGATCTGGGGAGGCTCAGGCACAGATTTCAAGAGTGAACCTCTGCACATGGCTGTCATATGCCATGCCACCAGGGAGCATGTGACTCAAATGTGTCATTGTAGAATGGAGGAACAAACCCTCCCTCACCTAATGCTGCCGCCCAACAAAGGCCAGGTGGGAAGGTTTTGCCACATGGACTCTGTCCTCTGAGGGAGCTGCAGAGACGCACGCTACTGACCAAGCCTTTGCTCTGTGCCAGGGGCGTGGGCAGGAGAGCGCTGACCCACGCCTCCTCTCACATCCTGGTGTGTGGCAAGGCCCGCTGTTCGCAAATGGACAAACCCACTTGTTTCTTTTCTTTCTTTTTGTGTGTCTGCATGGTACTAAGGATTTAACCCGGAGCACCACCCCTGAACTACATCCCAGCCCTGTTTTTATTTTATATTGAGACAGGGTCTTTGCTAAGTTGTAGAGGCCGGCTTCCTGTTTGCAGTGCCCTTCCCTCAGCCTCCCAAGTCGTTGGAATGATAGGTGACAAGCCCAGTTTCTGTGATGGCTCCACCAGGGGTGTGACCTTGGGTAAGTAGCTTAGGTCAATTTCCTCATCCATAAAGAGAGCACCACACCCCCTGGTGGCTTTGGGGACTAAACGACAATTTCACAGAGCCCTTTGTGCCTGGCAGACAGTAACCACTTAATTAGAGGCAGCTCTTCTTTTAATTATTAGACTTTCAAACCATATTGTTAGAAGAAAAACAGAACATTTTGACAAAACCAGCTAGAACTCCGTTAATAAGGTGACACTGGTTCAACAGCCTCACTCAGAACAAGTGACTGTATGAACTTTTAAAAGCTCTGCTCTGCTCAGAAATCTCAAAACCACCTCTGAGTCGCTCTTACCTGAGGCTGTGGCACCGAGAGGTGCTAAGTGGATCCTCTGGCCAGCCGACCCCACTTCTTTTTTGAGAAAGGAAGGATTGTAAGTACTGTAACTCCCAAGATTTCCTAGTGGCGTATCCAAAGTTTCAGAGTCAGAAGGTGAATATTTTAGGGTGCCAGAGAATAACTTTGACTACTACCCCCATTACTTCTAAACGTTATTTTCTGAGCACCTGCTATGTTCTAGGCACTGTGCTGCACTTGCCAGAGACTTATTCACTCCCTAGAACAACCCTCTCAGATGTACAGTATACACACTGCGGGTTCTGCAGTGCTAAGAGACTTGCCTGGGTTCCCACAATTAGTAAGGGAATGAGCTAGAAGCCCAAGTCAAGGCCAAGGTATGTTCAGTTCACCCCAAACACACCAGGCTTTATGATGCTAGTTCTTAACATGGGGCTGCATCTCCTGCCAGGAAGCGCTGTCCCTGATGTGTTCTCCCCCTTTTTTCATTTTGTAAGACTCTTAGAAGTGGACTTATGCTCCTAAGGTTGTTGTAGGGACTGAATAAGATGCATGCAAAGCATTTAGCACAGAATCTGGTATTCAGTGTCCGTCTTCAACATTGTGGTGACCATCACCACTGTGGACCTTTCTTTTCACCTCCAGTACACATTTTGAATCACATTCTTTTACTTTTGGAAGAGAAGTTCGAAGCCATGATGGTATTCAGTAGTAGCATCAGGACACATCAATTGTTCTCATTCTCACCATTGAACACTTCCTAAGTCGTTACTGTGTGACAAAATTCTATGTGTAGTTGTATTGTAATGCCTAAGTAAACAGGCTTTCCTCCATTTTATAGATGGAGAAACTAGCTTAAATCACTTGTCCAAAACCAGAAAAGCTTGTAAGAGACAAAAGAGGGACACATCAGACACTAAAAGCAATGCAGGAGCAGTTACGCAATGCAGAAAGAAGCTGCTGAGGGAAAAAAATGAACAGAAAGTTAAGTCTTCTTAAATTATTTTGGCTTATTATTTGAAGTCCTGTGAGCCACAGAGTTTTGAGTTGGAGTTAGTGGTTGGCATTATTGAAAACAGTGACATCAGCTCCCTATGAAATCCACCATCTCCATTAACTTGACTGAAATGGTTGCTAATGCCCAAGATAGGAATGTCAGAATCAAAAAAGTATTAAAGGAATACTGGTCACAAGATTAGAAAATATTCTTTTAATTATTTTCAATAGAATTATTTACTTGATTTCTATAAATTGCCATAGTTAATTTAAGAAGACAAGCATAGAGCTTTTTCAGAGTGAGTCAGTATTAAAATCCCAACTATTAAAGGAAGATAATACAGACGAGAGGAAATGCTTCTCTTTCTTCCCGGCCTGAACCACCTGCTGAAAGCTGGTCACCTTGGCCTGTCCTAATGGGATCAGGTGGAGGATGAGAGGGAAACTAGGCGACAGAGTCAAAGAACAAGCCCAGAAATTACCTTGTGGCTCCTCTAACTTTTCAGGAAAACTTTCATTGCATGATAGTTTTTCAATTGGTTTAATTATGCTTTCTTCTAAAGAGAAGGCAGGTGGAAAGAAAGAGCGAATGGTAAGGAGAATGTTACAGGAAAAGCAGGGAAAATGAATCAGGTGATTAATGAAAAGATCCAGAATGAGCCCTTGAAATGGGAAGACACTCCCCTGTGTCATCACGGCTTTCATCTGATGCCAGGTGTGTATTTCCCTGAGACTCAAGCTTCATTCTAACTGATTTGTGTAAATGGTTGGTTCTGTGAATGTCATTTTATATACCCGAGAAAAAATAAGTTAATTACAGGCCCCCAGTGTAAGACACCTCAGCTTTATCAGATGGGTGAGTCTTTTCAGAGTCTAAAAACACTGTGGAAAGTCTAGGTGTGTCAATGTCCAATCAGAACACCTCACTGGACTGCTCCCTCATGAAAACTGCAGTCATCAAACTTGTTTGGTCCAATGCCACCCACATTTTTAAGGGTTCCATACCTCTTCACACACTTGTTGATATGTAAAACTTTTCATCCTAAGTTTAGGAAGAGGATGTTCTTTTTCCTCCTTTTAAAAAATGTTTTTACTTTTGAGACAGGGTCTCACTAAGTTGCCCCAGCTGGCCTTGAATTCTCAATCCTCCTGCCTCAACCTCCTGAGAGTCAGGATTACAGGCAGGCACCACCAGGTCCGGCATGCAAGAGGATGTCACCGCCGGCATATTGTAATTGTCAATATCCACATAAAATCAGTGCATTTCTCCTTCAAATATAACCAATGAAATCTAAAGACCATAGTGATTTCATGCCCATATTATTGATGTAAAAATACATGAGCAAGTTCTTTTTTCACATATTTTCATTCATACTTCAGCTTCCAGTTTTTATCCAAATATAATTTAGTTTTAAAAGTCTTTAAATTGATCACTCAAAAATCCATATAAACTTGAAACAAAGTCTGAATTAGGTTAGTTATAATTACAATGATTCATTGTACATAATTACTAAAAAAGATGAGTATTATAAATTTTGATAACTAAATATGAAAAGTTTTCTTAGAAACATCTCTTAATAAGAAAGATGAGACTTTTTCCAAATAGCTTATGTTTCAGCAAATGAATATTTGTTGTCGGGACCTCACGGGGCTCCAATACCAGTGCTACTTCTCTGTCTCTGTCTCTGTCATTTATGGAGACAGAATCACTGAGAAACCTTTAAACTCAAAAGGGAATGAAGGGTGTTCTGTGACAGCCTTGCCGATATATTCTTTGTACTCTCTTCAAATTTATGGACCAAGAATCATAGCTCAGATAAAAGGATTTAACTACCTGTCAATTAACAACCCAATTAGGTTCTCCTTTAATTTTTAGAAAGCTCAAAACTAGAAACCCCCTGCCATTAGAAAGGATTTGCTTCACAGGTATCTGGGATACTTAACTTTCTCAACTCTGACCTCAACATATCAAAGTATCCCTTTGATTGGCACCCCAGATATTTTACATTGGGGGAAATAGAAAAGTCAGAATCTTTTCTCTTGTAAAGCAGAATTCAGAAACACCCTGCCAATAAGGCAGATCCATTTAGGAAGGAACCCAGATGGAAGATGAGGATCTGGCAAATGATTCCCTTAGCACTCTTTGTGCTCAATAGTTCATAAGCTTTGTGTATCCCTTGCACGGCCACACCCATCTCCATTGGAAGAAGGTAGGTGCCGTGTATTTAAAAGCAAACATCTGTAGAAGGCAGACTACGTACATTTACATTTTAAATCTATTCTTGCATTACCTGCATTACTCCTTTTGAAAGCAAATTCAGCGCCAATGGGTCCCAGAGACTTAGGAAATAGCTGATTATTCCAAGCATATGGGTTTATATTCTTTCCACTAGCTACGAAGGATACATTCTTCGGATTTACACCTTAGAAGAACAAAACAGTCATTTCAAAGATTAGCATGTGATCATAAACTTGAAGGAAAAATACACATGTTCAAACAAAGACTAAACATACTATGAAGAGAGAGAAATTTAGGTTCACGTGTAGCTTTCGATGAACCCTAACATGATCCCAAGCGCTTGGCACACATCTGAGCACGGACAGAACATACTTGCTATAGCGCAAGTAATAATGAACATTTGGCCTTCTTGCTGAATGACTCATAAAAATTGAGGGGGCATAAACATTTTTCTTCAAAACCAAGACAGTTCCAGGTCACTCACTCGCTTTTGTACACTAGGGCAGACCCTGGGGGACAGACATAAAGCTGGAGCTCAGGGCAATCCAGGGACTTCCAAAGCAGACATGAATGGAGCCTGCCAGATGCTTCTGTGTCCATGGGATGTCATCAGACCCACAGTTTATCACCTGTGGACTGGGAGCAGGTGTTAGAAATGTCCTCTGAAAAGAGGGAAGTTGACATTAGTCATGAATTGCTGAATCTATGAAGTCAAGACAACCTTGGGCTCTGGTACTCGAAGTCAAAGGAGGTTGGTTGTTTAACGTGTTTCTAAGAGATTTGAAAACGGGAGTTTGCAGTGGCACTCTTGAGATGCTGAAGACCTCACGCTGCCCACCGCGTTAGGTGCCCATGGTGCTGTCATCAGCCAGTGTAGACATCACATCAAACTGAGGACTCCGTGATTTAGGAAGTGGTGACTTTCCAGGCAGTACAGGCTTTTGCTTTTCACAAATGGAGTTCCTGGGAAGGCTTCAGAGTTATGAATAAGATACACAATAATTCTGTTTTGAAATCAGAAATACTGAGCCTCAAAAGCCACCTGTCATTGGTTCTCCAAGGAAGCACTCCTGGTGGCTAAATCATGTCCCTTTCTTATAGGATATAATGCCTGTGGATTCTGGCTTCTAATAAAACACTTACAAACAGAATATAATAAGAAATTACCCAATAAATAAGGATGCAGTAGGTAGCAGTTAGTCATATTCAAAAACCTTTACTCAAAAAGAAAAGTGCAAGGTAGAGAAAAATATAAAATCTCTTTAAGTGAACCCGGTATACATAAATATAGTTCCATAAAGAATGGATCCTGAATATTTATTATTTTAATCCAGTTAAACTTTTTAACATCCTTGAATAGTTTTTTTAAAAATAGATACATACACTATTGAAGATAATTGGTTTAATTAAGATAAAGATTACAACTTTATTGGAAATATATCCTAGAATTGTAAATTATTTATCAGTGTATTAGCTTTTATTGGACACCTATATACCTAACAAGAAGAGGCAGACATTAAGATAATTTGATATTACTTTGATGCATATCACATGATGACCATCTCTTGCCTCTCAGGAGATTTTACAATCAGTTAGCAAATATTCACTGAGTACCCGCCACATGCCAGGCAGTGTGTGTGGCATTAGGGAAAAAGCAATGAACAGAATGGACCAGTTCCTACTCTCTGGGCTCTTACAACCTAGTGAGGGAGACGTGTACAGTCATAATTAAATAGGGAGTTAGCAGTATGCAGATTTTCTGGAAGGATCTGGGGTGAGGGAGGTAAATAAGAGGACAACTGAGTCTTTCTTTTAAAAAAGCAACTTTAAGCTGAACTGTGAATCCTGACCCAGGGGTGGGGAGGTCAGGGAGAGGTGGCAGTTTGGGCTGAGGGCCTGAGGTGGGAGAGAACTCAAGAGAGAGTGCAGCATGGGCGCAGCTAGAACAGGGTGTGGAACGACAGGAGGCTGGAGAGCAGAACAGGGACAGGTCACACAGGACTGTGCGTCATGTTAAGAGGCAAACGCAGAAGTGCCACAGGACACTGAATGAACAGGTGGAGGGAAGAAGGTAAGTGATATGTGGGGGGAGACAAGGATCCTCCAGCCAGGGTTTTAATCATCACCCTAGGTAGGTGTATGACTGCACACGTGGTGCGGTGCAACTCTACATCATGTACAGCCAGAGAAATGAAAAGCTGTGCTCCATTTGTGGACAATGGATAGAGATGCATTAGCTGTCATAATTAGAACAACAACAACAACAAAAGCGCTATGGAGTAAACTGCTCTGCTGGACAGCAGTGGTGACATCAACTGGATCTAGGAGCAGAGGGTGACACCAGAAGGTACCACTGAGACCATTCCATTGCATATTCTATTTGCAACTCCCTTGTGATAAAGAAGTACCTAAGGCTTACAGGGTAAACCGGTGGATGACTGCGGTCCCACTGAAAGAAACAGAGAACTGAATCTCAAAGTCTTGTTCCAAGTACACAGCTGGTCAGCAGCAGGTCAGTAACGATGACGCATGCTTGTGTTCTTTCCCTGAAGGCCAGTGTCACAGATCTGCAAGTCCTTGTGCTATAGTATCATGCTGTCCTGTAATCATAGGGTACATTTCTAGAGCTCCCGTAGTCCTAAAGGTCGATGCTTAGTAAGACCTTTTATACTTGGTTTTAGGGTAAAGAAGAGTCCACAATGATATTTTTATCCCTGAAGACATTCACTTATGAAATTAACTATGGATTTAAAATGTCAAGGATTGCTTCTTATCTGGGTTTTATCTTCTGCATGGTTACTGCTTCACAACAGGTGCTCAGTAAATGTTTGTCCAAGTGACTGAACTGAGCCCAATTCTAGTTTCTAACCTCTTCCAGCTTCCAACAGGCCATATTCAAGGTAAAGAATGCAGCCGGGTGACAGGAAAGCTGAAGCTTAGATTTTAAGCAATTTTTTTGTAATTTTGAGTCTAGTTTTTAAGTGTCAATTACAGCCATACTTCTGACCCCAGGGAATTTGCAGAATTTGTTAGATTTTTTTAGTTAAAAAATAAGTGATCAGACAGTTCTTAGATACCATGAAATATAATCCTGAAAATTACATTAGGAAGCAGAATATGAAAATGTGTGCTTTGGGTCCACTTACCCTCTGCCAACAATTTATAGTAGTCACCCTTCAATAAGTCAGAAGACTGATTTGTAAATTTCAGTCAGAGAAGTGGACTATCTTATTTAAACAGAGTGTATTTCCATGAGACTCTCATCTCCCTGCCCATCCAGGCTGAGTAGAACTCTCATGGTTTCAACACCAAACTTTACAAATCTACCGGTACCCAGAGATTACAACACAAGTGTTTTTGCTGCTTTTGAAAGTGCACCCCAAGCCTTGTGACCTTCAGTCTGAGGCCTCTGCCTTCCTAAGGGCTCCCATCCCTGGCTCAGCCCCTCCTCCAGCACATTAGCGCTCCTCCCTCTTGAGGGAGCATCTCCAGCCACCTGCAGACCTGCTCTAGGTCCCCACTGTTGATGCTCCCTGCAGTCCATCCTAGGTTCATTTCTAAATGCCTCCAGAAGGTATCTACAGAGTCTCCAATTCCTCAACTATCACCTGCTTTCAACCCACACTTCAAACAATCTCCCTCCAACCTCCCTTCTAACCTCATCCAGCGCAGAGGGGCCATCTCCAAGACAAAGCATGCCATCTGTGTGACAGGTTTAGATTTCAAACAGTTCTTTGTACTTTTGAGTCTAACTTCCAGATTGAAACTAACTCAAGGTCACCAGGGACCTCTCTCTCCACTGTCAAATTTAATTAGACATTTCTATCCCTCCTTATCCAGCTGCTCAGCAGCCAACTACTCTTTCTGATGAATTTCCCTTTTGGCCTCTGGAAACCACCTTCTCTGGCTTTCCGACCCTCATCTCGCTGGCTGTTTTCTTCCTCCTCTACCTCCCCAGGAAAGCCCATGTTCCCCCCAGTCTCTCGGTGGGTGATCGATCCTGTCTGGGTCTGTGGAGGTACAGACTGCCTGCATGCTGGTGATTCCCAAATCTGTTTTTCCGGGACCTTGGTCCCTCCTCAGAGTTCCAGGCTCTTCTGTTCCACTCCCACGCCACCTCTCCTTGGTCTGTTTCCCAGGCATCTCAACTGCAATTCCCCACAAATGGGAGGCACAGCCTCTTCCCTACCCAAACCTGTTCCTCCTGAGTCCTTCCCATCTCAGTACCTGGCTCCACCATCCACCCAAGATTCAAGCTCCAGACAAGCTCCTTTCCTCTCACTTTCCACCTCCAATCCACCAGCAAGTCCATTTCCACCCTTTAAGTCATCATTGTCTTTCTCTAGGTGACTGCAGGAGCCTCCCAACCCAGCTCCCTGCTGCTTTTCTTGCCCCTGGGTAGTCTATTATTGATACAGCAGACAGTCTTTTTAACACAAACATCAGGTGCCACTCACCTCCTGAAGTGGACCAGGGATAAAATGCAAATTCCTTCCCCTGCCCTAAAGGCTGAATTCTGCTCTCCCCTCAGCTCAGGGAGCTCCTGATGTTAAACCTTCTGTTCTTAAATAAACTCTGTCTTTCAGACCCCTCCCCCTCCCCAGCCTGCAGCCAACTTTGGTTCCCCTCCTCTGCACCATCACTCCATCACTGTTTCTTACAGTGTATGTTCGCACACACACACCCCTCTCTCTGTCACACACACACACACACACACACACACACACACACACAAGATGGTGAGCTCTATGAGAGTAGTGTTTATTTCTCCATCACTGGGAATCCCCAGCACTATAATATACACTACTTGAAATGAGTAAACCACATAATGTCTGCAACACAGGTATTTTTAAGAGGCACAGTTAAAAGGGACATCAACAAAAAAGAAATGGGGAAAGTCAGGAAATGTCTTAGTCATCCAAGAAGTACGTTTATAAAACAGCTGATAAATGCTATACTTGGCTAAGTGAGAAATCTGTATCCAGCTTTGGGGAGCTTGCAGAGAAGAGTCCTTCTGGGGTCTTAATCCTCCTCCAGAAAATCCTGAATGAGACACTAACAATAAAGTTACCCTGAGACCAGAGTGGGGTTCTAGAAGCTTCTGTATAGTATCTGCCCATGAGAGAACCATGACTTTCTTGGACTCTTTAGGAACCTAAGATGAAGCATCCTGAGCGATGACTGACAGTTTTAGTCTGATTACAAAGGCATAGTGGGCAAATTCTCGTCTCATAACGTAATGACATGAAGATTTTCTGTGCAGAAAATTAGAACTCCAAAACTCTTTTCTCAGTTCAAGAACCAAAATAGAAGGTCACAAATAGCAGTCTTTCTCAAATTTTGACTTAATGAGAATGAATAGGGATTTTAGGTCAAGAATATATTTCCTAAAAAAAGTTTCCAATTTTTCAAAAGGGATCAGATAATGAATAGTAAAAACCTAGCAAATACCATGTTCATGTCTTACACTGATAAAGATTTTACTATAGAGTAAATTTTCTTTTTTGAAGGGGGGGGATACTTGGGATTGAACTCTGGGGTGCTTGACCACTGAGCCACATCCCTAGCCCTATTTTATATTTTATTTAGAGACAGGGTCTCACTGAGTTGCTTAGCACCTTGCTTTTGCTGAGGCTGACTTTGAACTCACAATCCTCCTGTCTCAGCCTCCAAAGCCACTGGGATTACACGTGTGTGCTACTGTGCCTGGGAGGAGTGAATTTTCTAATCCCATCCTTACAAGAATCAGACTATTTTGATGAGACACTTTTTTACAAGTAATAAATGTTTTATTTTCTCTACTTACCTGGAAGGTATCTTGATTGTTTCAAGTAGTACTGTTTAGCCACTGACGCAGATGACAGTTGGGAATCAGACTTTAGGTGAACTGCAGCAGGTAAGCTCTTGTTTTCCTCTGTGGAGTGGTGGAAGCCTGAGGGTACTGCCTCTGGGAGCCTTGAAAGTCAACAGAAGGTGGCTATAACGCCAAAATCAAGAAGTTCTCCCCTACCTCTCTGCATCCTTTCAATCAGCCAAAGCGACTCACTTTGAAGGCTGCGTTCAGTCCTCTGGATGATAGGAATGCTGATGACATCCCCCCGCTGTATAGAGACTAAGTGGCACACAGAACTGTTTCTGATACTGGATGATATGTGACACAAAGCTTTGTAACCGAGCAGCAACTGCTTGTGTATGATATGTATCTATATTTACTGAAGTTGCTGCACTTTCAAAATGTGGGACGGTGGTGAGCTGGACAGGAAGGCAGTAAGAGCCACTTTTCCATGTAGAAATTGAGGATTTTCAGCTCCCAGGCTTAGCTCTGCCTCGTTCCCAAGGCCATCTTGACCACACAGCAGTACACAAGGCAGCCGTCACTACCTGAGGATGGGCTGTCATTTGTTTTGAGACGCACACTCTGGGTTGTGAGGAGCCTCAGGACTGACCTCTTCTCCTTCACCCTCTGACTGACTTCTTACTTTGCCAGGACCTGCATGTACTCCCAGCCGGTCCCCACCTCCAAGAATCTCTGGCTACTCTCTAGAAATCCACACTGCCACAACCTACTCATCAAGCCACCCGTGGGCAAGGGACACTGACTTGGTTGGCCTTTGAACTTGGGCCACCCCCTGTGTGGGAGCACTAGTCACAGGTAGGACTGCAGTGGAACACCTCCCCTCAGCCACTCTGGTTATGCCATCTAGGAAAGTTCTATTCTCAAATCTGCTCAGTCCAAAAAGACTTCCTTGTCAGAGTGGCCTGCCACAGGCAGAAGTGTGGAGCTCCTGTGGGTGCCTCACAGTCGCACCCAGGACATTCTTGCCTCGTCCTACAGGTCTTTGAAGATCTTGTTCTGCTGTGGTGTATTTGATGGGTTGAGGACAGGCTAAGTCATGTTTAGGCCTTTGCTTAGTACCAACTACGTATTCAATAAAAGTTTACCAAGTATACATGTCTACAGGTACAAATAGAAATATAAATACCTTGCTTTTATTCACTTTTTAAAAGACAACTGTTAAACAAAAGGTGTACACTTTAGTATTTGGCACTCTGTATTCTTGATGGGGAAGCTCTGGCTGTCTGAGACTCTGAGCAGGGAACAGCAAGGCTGTTCACTTCACCAGGTATGTGGGCTCCATTGTGTAATAGGTGGTGTGGCATCAGTGAGGGAAAACCTTGGGTTTGAATTAAGCCTCATCTGATCTTTGGTAAGTTACTCAACCTATCTAAATATCAGTGCCCTCTTCTGCAGAGATTTTTAATGGAGTAAAAAAAATTATGAATAACCCAATGCAGTGGTGCATGCCTATAATCCCAGCTACTTGGGAGGCTGAGGCAGGAGAATTGCAAATTTGAGGCCCATCTCAGCAACTTAGGAAACCCTGTCTCAAAATAAAAAAGGATGTAGCTCAGTGGTTGAGTGTCCCTGGGGGTTCAGTCCCTGGTACCAAAAAAAAAAAAATTATGAGAAAAGTTTAGGGAAATGGTATCATATTATTAATAATAACCATATGCCTAAAGTTGTATAGGACCACTAAAAGGTACCAGAAAATAAAAATGTGGAAGAAATGCCCACATGAGCATTTTATTGTCATACAGTTTTTATTTTACTAAAGAATTTCAAGAGAAAAGGGATCACTGATGTTGAGAAAATGAACCAATTGTTCCCTTACAAGAATCAGGCAGATTCTAGATGTTAGCTTAGGTCTTGCTTCAGACCTTTACCACCCTCAAAAAACATGAAGAAGTTCAGTAAAATTAAAATGAAGTGGGTTTAAAAGGTTTTCAGGTCATCTACATGCACCACCAAAGTTCTTCAAACTCTTGGGCTCCCAGATACAGCTAATTAAAAAAGAGAACTATGCAAATCACTGCACATTTTCAAGATTTGATCTCTATCTATACCATCTGATTTTCATCACAAATGGAATAAATTTATTTTCTTGTTCCTTGCCAATAGTAGATAGAAAATTATATGTAGAAGATGGAACGTTGGGAGGGTGGACTACAGTTAAAGTATTTCATGGTGTGACTTGATTAATTAAGCTTTTTTAATATTCATTTTTTAGTTATAAGTGGACACAATATCTTTATTTTATTTTTATGTGGTGCTGAGGATCGAACCTGGTGCCTCACGCATGGTAGGCGAGCGCTCTACCTCTGAGCCATAACCCCAGCCCCAATTAACTAAGCTTTAACCACTTCAGTCCATAAAACACACTCTGAATCATCAAAAAAATTATGCAAAATTTTTATCTTTGGGTTTTGCAAAATCAGATAGTCCTACAGAACATTCTAGTACATCTAAAAGAATACTCAACACTAACCCCTCATGCTCCAGGGTTTTCAAATCACTATGCTTTCCAACAAAAGCTAAAATACCCATTCCCTCTCTCTCTCTCTCCCTTTCTTTCCCTCTCTCCCTTTCTCTCTCTCTCTCTCTCTGAGTCTAATTTTTTGCACAGGCTGGTTTCAAGGGATCTCCTGTCTCAGACTCCCAAGCGCCTGGGATGATGGGTATGCACGACTGAGCGCTGCCTTAATGCTCTATTTCTAACGTAGGGGACAACATTAGGAACCTAAGGAACAACGGAAAGCCTCTTGAACTGAAGGCACCAGGCTTCTGGTTTCTCCCTTTGTTTAACACCCCCAAAGTTGTTACATCTTAATGCTGTGCAAGACCGGAAATATTTTAGACGGGGGAACTTTCTTGCCTAAAGTTGGAGAGGGATTAAATGTAAATGTTTTTCCCTCAATTTTGTGTATTTTAGGGAAGAGGACCTATGGAACCTGAGGATCTGGAAATTGATTAAGAATGATCCCAGCATACATAATATCCTTTAGAGATTCATTATCTATCTCTTTGGGACATGTGTACCCCCTACCCCAGGTGAAGAATTCAGCACTGCACAGTGCTAAGACGCTATTAGATAATAGGTGACTCAGGACACTTTCTCCCTATTCCTCTTCTGGTCCAAAGATGAAGAAAACAAAGTATTTTCCCAAAATGTTCACTAAAATTTAACCCATACTAACTTCAAAGCTGAATAATGATCACCTAAATAATAATAATAACATAAATCATAGAAAGAAAAGGAACTGCTAGAGATGTTTAATTCTCAGAAAAGGTTCAGAAAATGGTCAAAAGATGTTTGAACACAGAGGAAACTGAGAACTCATCTGAACACCATCAGAGGAAACCATCAACTCTGTGAACGGTGTTCTGCGTCTGCACACTGGCGTGGGAATTTCAGATGGGTGTAATGATGACCAAGAGTGAGCTGGGCCTGCTGGCAGGCACCAGTAGCCCCAGCTCTGGGAGGCTGAGCCCAGGAGCTGGAGACCAGCCTGGGCAACACAGCGAGACCCTGTCTCAAAAAAATAAATGCACCAGAGCATCATGAAAGCCGAAGAGTAACCCTTCCCTACACACATGCAAATCATCATCCATTACTGTGAAAACCTAAGGTTTGTAGCTTTTCAGAGGTAAGCAGAAAGATTCATGTTTCAGAGAAGAGAATGTTAAGCTACCTCTTTGTCCTTTATGGTAGAGTTCATAAAAGGAAATGAGTAAAATAAAGTTGATGCGTGGTAAAAATATTTTTTCCTGAGAAACCTGAGATCTTACCGAAGTGGAGAATCTTTTTTCCTCTTTTCTTTGAAAACACCCATGCTTGGCTTCTTGGAATGGGAGGCTCCAAAATCACAGTCCTCAAACTCTTCCCAGCAGTCTCCAGCCTTGAGGATAGTCTGACCCCAACGCCTTCTAGCACTTTTATGAGCCAGTGGACCATTTGGCTTCTGTGGGAAAATCAGTCATCATAATCCTCAGTCCTTTGCTGAACGCCTTTTACACAAGCTAGTCTATCAGGCACTAAGAGTCACATTCTCAAGGAGCCTTCATCCAGTCCTGTGTCTTCTAAGACCGGGAACCCATTCTGAGAAACGCACCCTGAGGTGATTCTGTCATTGTGCAAACATCACAGAAGGGACTTACACAAATCTAGATGGTCTAGCCTACGACACAGGTAGGCTGTAAGGTGTCGCCCATTGCTCTTAGGCTACGAGTACAGCACGCTACTGTAGTGAATACTGTGGGCAGCTGCAGCATAATAGTTAGTACTTGTGTATCTACATACATCCCAACATAGGAAAAGTACAGTAAAGGGTTTGGGGGTGTAGCTCAGTAAGAGAGCACGTGCTCAACAAGCACAAAGCCCTGGGTTCAAACCCCAGCACCAAAAAATGGGGTGTGGAGAGACAAAAATATAGTATAAAAAATGATTCAGGGCTGGGGTAGAGTGCTTGCCTAGCACATGTGAGGCACTGGATCCGATCCTCAGCACCACATAAAAATAAATAAAGGTATTGTGTCCATCTACAACTAAAAGGTTTATTTTATTTTATTTTTATTTATTTTTTTAAATTTTTTATTGTTGGCTGTTCAAAACATTACATAGTTCTTGATATATCATATTTCACAATTTGATTCAAGTGGGTTATGAGCTCCCATTTTTACCCCATATACAGATTGCAGAATCACATCAGTTACACATCCATTGATTTACATATTGCCATACTAGTGTCTGTTGTATTCTGCTGCCTTTCCTATCCTCTACTATCCCTAAAAGGTTTATTTTAAAAACGAGACACATGATACACAGGTTCAGGACGCTTACCATGAGCAGAGGCTGCAGGACAGCAAGCTGCTCTGGGTGAGTGAGTGGAGAGTCAGTGTGAAGACTGGGACATTACTGCACACGACCACTGACATTTTAGACACTGTACACTTGGGCTATGCTAAATTTATAAAACATATTTTTCTTTCTTCAATCATAAATTAACCTTAGCTGACTATAACATTTAACTTTAAAATCTTTAAACTCTTTTGATTCTTTGCAATAATACTTAGCTTAAAACACAAACACATTCTAAATTAACAGGAATTTTTTGGCTTCATTATAATCTTCTGGGGCCATCATCATACTGTGGTGCATTGTTGACTGAGACATCGCCATGCAATATGGGAATGTATTTAAGGAGATAACGTGCACATTTAAAAACATTAACAAAAATAGGTAGCACCTGCCAAAAATATGACATGTGTTCAGAGAGAGGAGAAATCTGAATTTAGGAGGAAGAAAGACTTCCATATTTAGGATCTGGTTGACTTTTTATTGATGTAAAGGATCCAGAAAACCAAGACTTGACTGTGTCTCTTTGGGCAAGTGATTTCACTTTCCAAAGCCTTAATGGCCTTCTCAAGTGGGGACAGCCTTAAGGAGGGGGACATGGAGACAGATATTTTCTAGTGTCCTTCATGATTACCTCTCCCAAGTGCAGAGGCATACTTGAAAGAGCAACAGTCATCTTGCCACCAGAGGCATGAAAGACACCTGCTAAGGGGTGGAGCTTCTTTGGAAGCTGCAGGAGCTCTGGGTTGCCACCATCCAACTTCAAATTATGTGAGAAAGACAATCCCTATGGGTTAAGGCACAGCGTTCAGGTTTGTGTTAAAAGGCCCTGAATATAATCATAATGCACAGAGGGAAATGGGAGGGATAGCTTTAAGTCTGAGTGTCTCAGAACAGTGGCACCATTAACAGAAAGATGGAATGAGGAACGAGTCCTGGTTTTAGGAACGAGACAATGAACTGGTTTCATACAAATTTAAAGGCAATTAAAAATTGGGGAACAGAGCTCAGAAGGAAGGTCAGCTATATTGGGAGGGGATGGGCGGGCTATTGCGTGAACCGATAGCACCACGTGATGATGGCAAGCAGTGGTACTTGCCAGTTTCTATTCTGTTATTTTTGTGGCCAGGGAGAACCATCTCCAGACCGCAGAGAAGAAAACATCTAAAGTCCAGATGAGTGGAGTTAAGAAAGATGACAATTAGTTGCATTCTGGGCTCCTTTCATTTGAACTCTGTGTTAGGTACCAGTGCTGAACAGGGTCAGCGACACCCAAGTGATCCTGTATGTCTGACAAGACTGCAAAGGGACAAATATAAATAGTTTTCAAAGTCGAAGGTAGATTTTTGCAAATGTCACATCAGTAAGTTTGATATAGAATAAAGGCAAAGATTTTAAAGTCATCTGTTTGTGAGCACTAAGGAAAAAAACCTGGTGGATCTGTAGGCCACCGTTTTCATAAAAAGCAAGCAATGAATTCATTAGATGGGTATGTGTGGACTTCATTCAACTTGGGGACAGAATGTTTCATATCTTTACTAATACAATGTAGTAGTGAAGCAAAGGTGGGTCAGGACAAGGGGCAATCATTGGACGAGTACCATTTCAAGGATCAGTGTTAATCCAGAAGATTCTAGTGGCCTGCTCAAGGGCTCACTGCATTCTTTTCATCATGAAGATAGAGGAGGAAAATAAAAAACAAATCCGTAGCTGGCGCCAAGTTACACAGAATGGTTAGACTGAAAAGTAAAAGTAAGGGTTCAAGCATAATTAGAAAATTGGGAGGTAAAAGCGACGTCCTGCAACTTTCTCAATCCTAAAGATCAAATGCCCAAGTAGAGGTATGCAACATGTTTCGCAGAAGCAGGTATAAAAAACATAGATTTAAAAGTTTTAGTTGAAACAATGCTCAAATCCAATTCTGGAACTTGTTAGCTATGTAAAAAATTAGGGTTAGGTTATTATTGATACTTGAACTTGTGTGAGAAGGCACACACAGGGGCTTAGCATCATGCCTGGCTTTTAGCTACTTCTACATGTAGCTGCTCAACATATCTGCTTCCTTCCTTCCCTCTCAGATTGCATCAATGTTTGATTTGTCTTCTAAGAAAATAAAACAACAACAACAACAACAACAAAAAAGACTGTAACCCTTAGTGGCACCAGTGGACCGGTGATTCCAGACATCCTGTTTGTCCTCCCTATCCATCCTTGCTCTAGCCTGGGCAGGAAAAAGATGGGAGGGGACTTGGAGGCTTGTCGGTGAATGACATCACATGCAGAGCTCTTGAGGAAACCAGGGCTATTTCTCCTGGAGAAAGGGAAGGTAATGTAAGGGCTATTTTCGGCTCTACCTAAAAGATAGCCTTTCTAGAAGAGTGTTTAGCTTTTATTAAAAGCCAGGGAAAACCAGAGTTGAAGTCAGTATAATAGGCAGAAGTTTCTAAAGTTCAGTACTTTCTCAAAGATGAAGAGGACTCCTCAGGATCTTGGAGGTAGTTTTTTTTTTTTTTAATTTTCAATTGATCTTTTTTATTTATTTAGGAGGTAGTTTTAAAATAGTATGGTAATCACTCTTTCCTTCAACAAATATTGAGAATGTACCATGTGGCAGGCAGCACTTTAGGTTCTGGGATGTATTGATAATAAAACATTCCCAACCTCAAGGAGCTTGCACGCTAGGAGGAAGGGCCAGGTAATACACAATAAACACACCAAACAAGTAAGAGTATGTTAGAAGTGATCAGTGCTGTGGGGAATGGGAGGCTCTCACTTACTCGAGGATGGTGAACTGATAAGGAATTAGATAAAGTGTTGTTCAGATATTTTTCAGTCCTAACCAAATGCAAATGCATGTGGGGGTGTATACCTGAATGGGCAACTAAAACCTTCCCACACCTAATGAGCTCCTGGATCTGCCTGGAAGTGGGAAGAGGAAGTTTTATACTATGCCTGACCCTTAAAACCCATTCAAGTGCATTAGAACTTAAAAGCAGTGTGAAATTCTTGTTAAAATTCCTGAAATTTAGAATCAGGACTCTTGAGTACCCAATTATTTTCAGTTCTTCTTTGAGTTCTTTTGTATGGATGTAATTGTTCAAGGAAAACTATAGCATGCAAACTTTTTAACTTGCATTCAGAAAGTTTTTCTTTCATACATATAAAATGTTCTCTCCCATCGTGCGCCTCTCAGAGGAGGCAGGAGCTTTAAAACAGGATGATCTTTTATATCTTCCCCAATGTTATTAGACCTGCCTGGCACTCAATGCATTGGCTCAATCATATGCCACTTACAGTTGGCAGGTTTTTGACGATGCTAGGAAACAGTGTTTGTGGTGGTCTCGGTTGACTCTGTTGCTTTGGAGGCTGCTGGAGGTCCCCGTCCTGTGGCGGCTGAATGGACTGCAGTGGTAGGTGGCTGTGCTTTGGCTGGGGCTGTCCGACAGTCTGGTCGGTTACATCTGGCAGAGGCTTGGGGTCTAGGTTAACAGGAGCTGGCTTGCATTCTAATGACTGCAGCTGCTTATTTAAAGTCTGTTTTGATTCCAGAAGATGTGAGGAAGGGCCTAACACCTGTCCCACTTGAAAATATGGGTGTTTCAATGCCTATAACAGCACAGAAATATTAAATTACATTAACATTTAGTTCATCAAAGTGTTTCCAAATCTAAATTATGTACATCCTTAGCTTGAAATATGTTGCCCACCCTTAACAATGCATTCCTAGTGCTGTCTTAAAAAAAAAAAGTGTGTGGGGGATGAGGATGGATGTAGCTAAGTTGCCCCCAGGCTCTCTTTGAACTTGTGATCAGCCTCCTGAGTCACTGGGATAACAGGTGGGCACCACTACCCCTGGCTAAGTCCCCCAGATTTTAATTCTCAAGTAATCAAATCTTATGTGTGTTCCCCTTTGTGATTTCTCCTATTACTTTAATATCCATGCTCTTCTTACCCTGAGATCAAATGCATGTCCTTTCTTTTAGTTTTTAATGACTTACTTAAAACACATACACACACACACACACACACACACACTGATTTATTTGTGAAGTATGGTGAGAGGTAAGAACCTAAATTCACTTTTCCTGAAGAGTTAGCAAACTGTCCCAGTGAACTGTCATTCACTGAACAGTCCCACCTTCTCCCTGCCATTTGTGACACCGTGTTTATCTTATCCTGAACTTAAACGTTTTATTTGTCAATTCTTATGCAGTACTTTCACTACTATCATTATGGTCACTTCAAGGGCCATTTTTAATAACTGCAGGGCAGGTGTCCACCTACATGCTCTCTACTTGCTTATTCTTGTTCAATCCTGCCTTGACTTTCTTTCCCATTTGTTCTTCCAGATGGCCTTCAGAAAACATATTCTTAGTTTATTTTAAAGTTTAAAAGAGAAAAGTAATTCTTAGGTAATTTTCACATATGATTTATGTTTAATGATTAAAACATAATGAAACTCATCAATTTTTTAACTTATTTGCAAATAAAAACTTGTAAAGACTCTGAGACTTGCAACAGTCACAGAGGAACAAGGGTGTGCCCCAGTGCTGCCCTCTTGTGGGAGCTGGAGGCTGAACACTGTTACTCCATCCTCTGGAGAAATGATTACCCAAGTGTGAAGAGAGGGAGAATCCCACGCCTCAACCAAAGGAGAACGTAGGAAAGTCTAAAATGACAAATTATTGAAGAGATGCCTTTTTTTGCTACCCATGACAAGGTCTTCCAAACTTGTCTATCGCATGCCTGAATTGTCTTTAGAGATCCATCCCTTTCAAACTCAACCTCCTAGAAGCTTCCTCATTTGAATCCCCAAACAAAATCACCTTCGTGCTATCTTTGCAATTCTCCCAAGGATTTTCTCTGTCAAGAAGCTGATCAACTATACTAACTGGATGCCCTAGGGATGCACTCTCTTGGTAATCCCTGGTTAAGCGTGTCTATGCAGGTGAAAACATCCCTGACGTTGATAAAACTCAAAAGTTTAAAAGTTGTAACAGGGAGATTTGCCTCACCTGGCTTGCTGTTGGTCGTTTCTTTGGATCCCAATTCAACATTTCAGTCATTAGCTGAATGGCTTCATTACTGGCATTGGGAATAAGGGTTTTTAAGTTTATAGGAACACACTGAGGAAAGCGGAAATTCATAGAGGATGCAAGCTGGTATCCTTCTGGCCAGTCACTCTGTTTAAAAAATATATATGTGGGGGTGGGGAGCAAAAAGAAAATTGTTTTAGTAATCAATTTAAAGACACAAAAGTAATTCAGGTATGAAAATTTGAATACTGATTCATATAAATGAATGTGAAATAAAATATCAGCCTTTATTTCTGATTAGGTTCTACCAACCACATAGAAAAAAAGAACATTGAATTGAGAGGGAAAAAATGAGAAAGCTCCATGTTTCACAATATTACACTCTTGTCTGGTTTTGGATCTTGATGATGACACTGGTGACTTTGAACACATAGGACAAGTGCCTTATAAACACTTGATCCTAGAAAGATCCTCATTATATATTATATATTGCGTCTATAATGTGAAGAATTACATAGCTGGAAAATAATAACTTTGTTAGATTTTTTTTTTAATATTTATTTTTTAGTTTTCGGCGGACACAACATCTTTGTTTGTATGTGGTGCTGAGGATCGAACCCGGGCCGCACGCATGCCAGGCGAGCGCGCTACCGCTTGAGCCACATCCCCAGCCCTTGTTAGATCTTTAATATCTACATTTACCTCTCTAATATTAACTATAAAGCACGTACTGATTTAATTAGGATGTAATCATACATAATTACACTACTAAGTACATCCCAGAAAGTAAGGTTCACCTGAAATGCAATATTAATTAAAAAGTGCCAACTACCCCTGGCGAAGGTATGTAAATGGAAACAAGAAAGGGTTAAAAGAAAGTAAGTCCAGGGCCCCAGGGATGTTGGTTGATGCCTGGGGACCTTCACAAAGCAAGGGGGAGTCTCAGCCAGTCACCAACCCCAAGTCACACTCTAAAGAGAACTGTCCCTTAGTTCTTTTTTTAAAATATATATTTTTTTTTATTTTATAAGAAGCAATATATCAATTACCATGTATAAAAGGAAGGAGAAAGGAACATTACAGTGATTATGATTGACTTCCTTTTTTATTTGAGATGGGCTGGTTTGAGTGAGGTTACTTCCATTTAGTAAGTATTATGGTGTTGTCTGCTTCTGAGTTTTCAGAAACTTTCTTAAAAGCAAAGTTTTGCAAACAAAACCAAGAATCTTAAATAGAACCATTCTGAAAATTTCTTTTTTTTTAAATTTTTTATTTGTTTTAATTAGTTACACATGACAGTACAATGACCTTGACATATCATACATTTGAATCAGATGTGATATAATTTCTCATTTTTCTGAGTGTAAGGAAAGGCAGCAATCTCTTACTCCATCTGGTGGGATTCTGGCTTCTGGTGATCCTCATCCTACTCCATTTTAAAAATGATAGGATTGTGATAAAATCACTGAAGTATAAAACTATTTGAAAATGAAAAAAGTCAGGTACCTAGCCAAAAGTGATAATCAAAAAGTTATAAAATTCAAAGCAAAGTAGCAAGTTGGAAGTAATGTAAAGTTAGATCAAATAAGAGTTACTTTACTCACTTTCTTGGGAGTCCCTAAAACTTGGCAGATTTTGAAGATTTCATCAATTTCACTTGTCCCTGGGAACAGAGGTCTTAGGGTATAGAGTTCGGCCATGATGCTTCCCACAGCCCACACGTCAATGGGAGAACTGTACACTGAAGATCTTAGTAAAACTTCAGGAGCACGGTACCTTTGAAAAACAAGACAAAAACCAAAAAGACTGTTTGGAATATGACCTCACAGGTGGATGGGCAGTAGAACAGAACTCTAGTCATTAGTTTCAATCAAGGGATACTTATTTTCTCCTGTGTGCCAGGCATGTGTACATGTGTTAGGATGGGCTAGACATGATACATTCACAAGGGGTGGGCTGTACAGGAACGTATGAAATGCCCATGGAGCCTGAGACAGGAACTCAAATGAATAACAGGGAAATAAGTACTCTCTGTTATTTTAAGAAAAAAACATACCCCAAGCATCATGTCCAGCATATATTCACATGAAGGGTAGGAAATGAAGGTTAACAAAGATTATCCCTGAGTAGTACATTTTTTCTTTCTTTTTATCAGTTTTAAAGTGCTCATACCAAACTGGGAATGGAACCACCATTTGACCCAGCTGTCCCACTCCTCAGTTTAGACCCAAAGGACTTGAAAACAGCATACATTAATGTTTATAGCAGCACAATTCACAATAGCTAAACTGTGGAACCAACCTAGATGTCCTTCAGTAGAGAATGGATAAAGAAACTGTGGTATATATACACAAGGGAATATTACTCAGCATTAAAAGAGAATAGAATTATGACATTTGCAGGTAAATGGATGGAGTTGGAGAATATAATGCTAAGTGAAGTTAGCCAATCCCAAAAAACCCACTGCTGAATGTTTTCTCTGATCTAAGGATGCTGATTCATAGTGGGGATGGGGGGGCAGCGTGGGAGGAATGGAGGAACTTTAGATAAGGCAAAGGGGAGGGAGGGGAAGGGAGGGGGCATGGTGGTAGGAAAGGCAGTGGAAGGAGATGGATATCATTACCCAAAGTACATGTATGAAAACACGAATGGTGTGACTCTACTTTGTGTACAACCAGAGACATGAAAAACTGTGCTCCATTTGTGTACTACCAACTGAACTGCATTCTGCTGTCATAGATAACAAATTAGAATAAAATTTAAAACGTGCTCATACCATCAATCCAATCTTCTCTGTAGACAATAATATTTTTTAAAAAAATTTTTTTTAGTTGTAGGTGGACACAATACCTTTATTTTATTTATTTATTTTTTTGTAGTGCTGAGGATCGAACCTAGTGCCTTACACATGCTAAGTGAACACTCTACTGCTGAGCCACAACCCCAGCCTAATAATAATATTTTTAATTGAGGAAAATATGTATAAGACCAAAGGTACCTGGTAAGCCCAGCACAAAGTCTGCTAACTGGACAATATTTTCAATTCTAACTTTTTTCCTCCACATTGAAATGTGAAAATATTGCAAATACTTTGTAGTAGTCTTTTTGTTTTCACCCAGAGTTCTTTGACAAATATTTTTAACAGCTTTCCTGAGAGATGATTCACATAATATACAAGTCACCCTTTTAGCTATGCAATTCAATAGCTTTTAGTATATTCACAATCAATTTTAAGACATTTTCTCTATCTTTCTTATCCACCTCTCCCTTGATATCCTGTACCCAGCCCTAAGCAGCCACTAATCAAATTTCTGTCTCCACTTGCCTACTGTAAACTAATTTCCTAACGACGGAATCATACATGATTGTAACTAGCTCCTTTCACTAAGCATAACATTTTCAGGGTCTGTCCATATTGTAGCATGTATCAGCCCTTCATTTTTTAAAAATATCTTTAGTTGTAGATGGACATAATACCTTCATTATTTTATTTATTTATTTTATGTGGTGCTGAGGATTGAACTCAGTGCCTTACACGTGCAAGGCAAGTGCTCTACCATTGAGCTACAACCCTGGCCCAGCCCTATCTTTTTATTGCTGAAAAATATTCTATTAATTTGCCACATTTATTTACCCATCCATCAGTGGAAGGATGTTTGGGTTATTTCTGGTTTTGGCTGTTATGGATAATGCTTCCATGAACATCCACGCACAAGCTTTTGTGTGGACACGTTTTCTCCTGGGTGTACAGCTAGGTGTGGAATTTCTAGACCACATCGTGCCCATGTTTAACCACTAAGGAACTGTGGCCTTTTCCAAAGCCTCTCTATCATTTTACATCCCAGCAGCAGTTTATTAGGATTTTGCTGATTTTGTACATTCCTATCAATACCTGTTATTATGTTTTGACAAATATTTTTTGAGAGACAAAATTGATTTATGTTTTGCCAAACTTAGACACAGAAACATTTAAGTATTCTCACTTCCATTCCATGTCAATATAGAATCTAAATTTATCCAATTAAAAATAGGATCTCATTCCAAAGAATCTTCCCTCAAGAGACTTTCCAAATGTAATTACACATTTAACAAAATACAGCTACTACATTATTTGAACTTTTATCATTTCTTCAATTCCTCCCTTGCTTTTGTAGATAAATATTGACTTCCCGTCTTCAGACTTTGTTTTCAGTAACTGCAAGTTGCTATAAGCTTGGATTTTTGGTCCTCTATTTATTGAAAATTCTGATTAAAAATTTCCAAGTGATTTGAAACACAACGCAACCAAAATTTAAAGGACTTGTTTATGAAGAAGCTAAGATGCCATTGTCAAATCACCTAAATTGGGTTACACAGTAATTCTTCAAAGTCAATGACAGACAGCAAGGAGAGAAAGCACATGCTGCCATGCTCCAGTTCTTCTTAGTGAACTTCAGTATCCTCAAGACTTTGTAGTTCAGTTATTCTCCCTCGGTATGTGTGCGGATGATTGGTAAATTCTGGGGATGGTTTATATGTTGACTGGCAGCTTGTGTGGATGCAGTTCCAAACCAGACCCACATCATAAGCAATCCTTGCCGCTTCCTTGGTTCCTTCTTCATTTGGTAAGAACATTGTTTCTTATGAAGTTAGGCTTGTGTAAATTTGTATTTGTATTATCAATGTAAAAACAATACTTTCATTTTCAATGAAGGATTTTTAAGTTGAAATTAAGGTAGCATTCACAGTAATGTCAGATTTTTCCCCTTTCACAGAATGAGCCTATTAAAAGTTTCATTTGATTCTATGAATCATAAGGAAAAATTAAAAGTCGTTGCTAGAAATAAAGTAACTGAGTTTTTCCTTTGAAGCATTTCCACTCGTTTTAAAATGGCATCATTTAACTGTGACATCCTTCCTCCAATAAAGCACCTGTACACGCCCAGCCAATCACTTCACCTTTCCACTTGCACAAGATGGACTCAAAGAGGAGAGAAATTAACTCAGCATTGCGTCCTAGAATAATGTGAATTCATCAGAAGCTGCACGTGCTAATGGCTGGCCTTAACAGTCTTCTAAAATGCTACTAACTTTTCAAACAGATGCTAACACCGCCTGGGGAGAGTTGCTTTACTCTAGCTCAGCGACTATGTCCCCTGTAGATGGCAGATGTCACTGAATGTTTTGTGTAAGTTCATCAGCAACTTCTCTTTTAAGAAACAAAAAAATACTTTTTTTAAAAAAACTAAATATGCAGTTTTCTTTTGGAAAATTACTGTTGATAAAAGATTTCAGTGCAAAACGATTTCTTAAGAAAGCATCACCAAATGTATTCCTCACTTCAGGGTAGTTTGAACAAAGTACCACAACCCAGAAAAAACAAGAATTTACCCCCTGTGTCTGGAGGCTTGGTATGGCTATGGTCTGTTCCAGGAAACTCTTCCCCCAGCTCCCAGTATTGCTCTGGGCCATCCTTGGCTCAGGACATACCACTGGACCTCTGCGCCTGACTGCTTTCCTGGGAGCCTTCCCTTCTCCTCCCCCTGTGCATGGCTATCTCTGTGTAACTTCTTATGAGGACACCAGTAAGACTGGATTAAGGCCCACCTGACCCCACTAAGACCTCAGCTTAACCCAGTTTAGAATAAGATTACATGCACATGTACCAGGACTAGGACTTCAATATATCTTTTAGGGAGACACAATTCAAACTAGAACAATGAACAAGAAAATGATTGTAGATTTATACTTTGTAATAATCACTGTAGAAAGAATATTCAATTTTTTTGCGTGTATATGTGTGTGTGTGTGTGTGTGTGTGGTTTGAGGATTGAACCCAAAAGTGCTCTACCACTGAGCTATATCTAACCTTTTTTATCTTTTTTGAGTCAGGATCTTACTAAGTTGCCCAAGCTGGCCTTGAACTTGTGATCCTCCTGCCTCAGCCTCCTGAGTCAGTGGGGGTACAGGTATGCACCACCCTGTGGGCTTCAAACCACTTCTTTTTTCTTTTTTTTTTTAAATATTTATTTAATGTATTTTTAGTTGTAGTTGGACACAATATTGTTATTTTATTTATTTATTTTTATATGGTGCTGAGGATCGAACCCAGGGCTTCCCATGTTCTAGGCAAGCGCTCTACCACTGAGCCACAATCCCAGCCCCCACTTATTTTTTTCATTACATATTTTATTTGGAGATGTTTACACAAGTTCAGGGAAGCTAAATTTTTGAGACAGCGGATGTTATTAGATTATCGTCAGTTTATTACAAAAGAGATGTGGAAATTCTTTACATGATGAAAGATTTCAGAACTTCAGTGGAATGGACAGCTTCATAGGATGCCATTTCAACAGTGATTTGTTTCCGTCTCCATGCTTTCCAAGAATGTCACCATCTCTAAATAAGAAATGATCCTTGTCATCTAGAACACTTTGGTGCCTCCATACTTCACACTACCTGGCTGAATCTCCCACCCTTTCCTTTAGAGCCTGGTCCATAGCTACTACCATTGCTTGCAATACTTTTCCTTGAGATTTTTCTGGAAGCATAATGCCTCCTTTGGTTACAGTTTCGGCTACACTCCTTTCAACCAATACTCGGTCAAAAAGTAGAAGAAACTTTCTAAATGCTTGTCCGGCCGTGACTCCTGCTGCTGAAGTTCAGACTCTGCTCTTGTGCTGCTGCTGCAAAGAGACCCCTCAAAGCACTTCTGATATGCCCTACAGGTACACAGAGGAGTGATGACCTCCTACACTTCCTGTGCATCCATGATGCCACCAACTGGCACCTCAAAGCTATGGCTTAGGCCGTGGCACAAGTGACTGGCCGGCAGAGGGAACAGTGTCAAATACTTCTGTTGCCACCCACCTTGGAAGAGGTAGCTGAGGACCACTCCTGGCTAACACATTTGTCACAGTCTTCAGGAAAGGCATAAAGAAAGATGGGAAATACCTGGCCATTTTTCATATTTTGCCATGTGTCAAATGCAAACTTGGCTCACTGATCACATGTCTCTAAGTTTATGGAAAAGAGCCCAGAGGAAACAGGAAGTGTGTTGATAATGGCACCAGCGGGGACTGTCCTGGGCAAAAGAGACACACAGTCACTCTATCCAGGCTCATCCTCAGACCTCTCCTCTAACTGTACTTGTTCCTTTGGTGATCTCAGCCAATCCTGAGAGTTGAAATACTGGGGTCTTCTGAACTGATGTCTCCAGCCCAGCCTTTGCCCTTGAGCTCTGGATCACACATCTAACCATCGCTTTGGCATCCACTGGCTGTCATCTCACTCAACCCAAAACAGGACTGTGCTTTTCCTGCCAAGGCCTCCGTAGCACTCCACAGCTCAACGAGTGGTGACTGCATCCTTCCAGATAATCTGGACAAAAACCTTGGAGGGTTTGATTCTTTCCTCTTATCCCGCACCCTGCTTCATGGGGGAAACACACACAGAATCCCACAATTCTCACCATCCACATGGCCAGTGGGTTCAGGTCACCATCTTTCCCTGCCCAAATTATCTGTCTCCCTGCTTCTGCTCTGATTCCCTAAAACATGCTTTCAACATGGCGGCCGGGGTGATGCCTGTAAAACTGGTAGGTCCTGGCATCTCTTCACACAATCTTCCTGGAGCAGCCCCTCTGGCTCAGATTCAAAAGCTGGTCCCGACAGTGACCTACAAGGCCCTGTGTGATCTGGCCGCTCTGCAAACTCTCTGACCTCATTTCCTACTGCTATGCTCCCCTCTCATCCTGTGCTTTACAGAACTTACTAGGGGCACATTTCTGTCCCAGAGCCTTTACTTTCACAGCATGGGTTCAGTCTGAGAGCTCCCACTTGCCCCAGCACCTCCTCCAGGCCTATTCTCAGTGAGACCCTCCATTAAATTAGCAATATTACCCCTCTCCCCCCATCTCCCACCAACTCCCTGTCACCTCTTCATATTTTACCTCTCCATAATTGTGTATATCACTATTATATATATCACTTATATATATATATATATATATATATATATGTATGTGCACATATATATTCATTCTTATTTTTACTGAAATATAATATACATACAGGAAAATGCACTTATTATGAGAGGTGAGCTTGATGAATTTCCACAAATCGAACACACCCATGGACCCAGCATCAAGGTCAAGACGCATGTTAGCCTCTCAGAAGACCTGTCACGCACTCATCCCATCACTTCTGCCCCTTCACCTCTGCCCCATTGGGTGATACACTGTACTACTGTGGATGGATATGCAGGTAGTTTGCTATTACATGTCTTTGGGTAAACAGGTGGGTCTTCCTGTTGGGACTCATGATATTTTTAGCTTGTTTCTAAAAAGAAGCTGTAGTGTGAGCAGTATGAAGCAGACATTTTTCTTTTCTGTTTTGTTCACGTCTGTGTTCCCAGTGCTTAACATAATATTTGGCACATAGTAGGTATTCAATAATATTTGCTGAATGAACAAATGAGATTCTTTTTCTTTTTCTTTCTTTTGTAGCAGTTCTGAGGACTGAACCCAGGGCTTGGCCCATGATAGGCAAGTACTCTACACTGAACTACATCTAACCTAACCTAGCTTTATAAATCAACTTTGAGACAAGATCTCACTAAGTTATCCAGCCTGGCCTCCAACTTGCAATCCTCCTGCCTCATCCTCCTGAGTAGCTAGGATGAAATCCTTTTTCTTTCTCTGATTTTACTGATCAGAATATATGAACCACTGCTTCCCTCTTTCTAAACAATACAAAATTAATTTCTATATATTGTTTTAAATACCCAATATGGAGCCTCCAGAAAGATAGATAACAATTAATCACAGGAAAACTTCAATATAAACTTGAGCCTCAGGAGAGTTGTATAGAACTACGTACCATCTGGTAGATACATAATCAGTATATGGTGGCTGTGACCTTAATTCTCTTGCAAGTCCAAAATCAGCAATTTTCACAAGTTCTGGACCCATGCAAAGCAAGTTTTCTGGTTTCATGTCCCTATGGAAAAAGCCTTGGCAAAATAGAGAAGAAAAACATAATAAATCCTCATGTTCAAACAGTTTTATTTGATTCACAAACAAAACACAACGGAATCTCTCTACTGTAATTAAACAAGGTGCTGGAAAAACGACCGCATTTATTGATTAAAAATGATGAGATGCAGGGATGCTGCTTTCAAAGTGATCTGGCAGGATCTGCACCGTCTCCACTAACGGGACAACCTTAATGAAAGCTATTGCTGTCACTACTGGGTAGGAGATGAGGAGTTGAGGCCCAGAGGGAGGAGCCTGACACCTAGGGTCACTTCCTCATCAGCCTTAAGTCCTGTGACACAGTGCAGTATAACACAAAATACCTTGAGAATAATCACTGATTTCAAAAAGCCATGGACAAAACAAATTATTTTAGCTCAATTCTCCCCAGTAGTTTCAGTAATGAGAAGCCCAGTGTTTTTATTACCAATTCAATACACAAGATAGCCCAGTGTAGTGGTGCACTCCTGTAACCCCAGCAACTCGGGAGGCTGAGGCTGGAGGATCATAAATTCAAAGCCAGCCTCAACAATAGCGAAGTGCAAAGCAACTCAGTGAGACCCTCTCTCTAAATAGAACACAAAATAGGGCTAGGAATGTGCCTCAGTGGTCTGGTTCTAGTACCCCAAGTTCAATCCTTGGTAAAAAAAAAAAGAAGAAGAAGAAATATATAAGATAGATGGTTAGTTACCCAGGATAATGGGAAGTCCAAAAAAAATGAAGCAGGAAACCCAAAGAACACGAAAGCCCTCCTAGCAGATCAGAGTCGCAGGGAGTCCTTTCCTAAGAGTGACCTCAGGTTTACTGTTGGACACTGATGGCTTGGACTCTGAGGCCATGCCAGTTGGAAGAACTGTAGGTGTTTTTTATGAGAGGATTTCGTGCAGCTTTGGGGCTAGGATTTTAAAGCCTAAACATTTTTAATCACTTCAAAGCCAGTGACATTAATCCATGAAATCTTAGCAAACTAACCAATTACGTATTTATATAACTGAGATTTTCCTCCGTGCATTCTAATCTACTGGCAATATTGTCCAGTTTTAACAAATTATTGGTCTTGTTCTTAAATTGCTACTAATAAAAAATCTCTTTTTTCTCAAAGTATTACATCTGAGTTGCTTTACTATAGCAAACAAAAAATGGCTTTTGTAAAAATGTCTATTGTCCTTAGAACCTTATTTCTCAAATCACTGTGTAGTCAACTATATTAGTCAACTCTGGATTATTCAGCCACAATTTTTAAATCCTAAGCTAACTTTCTCCTTAAATCCTTTATTGCTTAGGTTATAGTTAATAATAGCATAAATAAAGTCAGGCATATCAAGAGTTACATTGAACAGAGTTAAAAATATACTGAAAATTAGCAACTCATTATGAACAATTAAAATAGCATGTCATCCTGTATTTCTATGTACTTAAGAAATTATTGATCTTTAACAATGAATTATACTATATTATTACCAGACAAGACATGAAGGAAGACTGGGGAGGCTGCGTTTGCCTGCAGCAATGATATGATATACACTTTTCCAACTTAATGCCTAAATATCTAGTGCTTCTAAACAAATGTTCTTTAAAAATAAACATGTTAGATTTTTGAACTAATGATTATTCTGGTTTGATAGGTATGCAAAAAACCCTACATAAATTAAAATTACATAAATAAGCAATTCATAGACAATAGAAACAAGCACCTGCTTTAATTTCACTCAGAGAATAATGTAAATCCTAACAATAATCATGAAACATCACACCACAGGGGCTAGACGCTACTTAAAAGTTAGTGACTGCTGACACTAGAACAAAGAATCCCAGTCTTTCCCAAAAGATCTTCTCACTGTTAATGTTTCTGTTGCAATCAGGGGTCATAAGATTGCAGGATGAGTTAATTATGATGACTAAGACAACAGGCTGATGAGCAAACTATTAGTTATAGAATACAGATACTCCATATAGGATTATGATATTATAAAGTGTGTGTGTATAGATAGGCACATACCCCATTACTGAACAGTTGGCATATAATTCTTGTGTGTGACCTTGACAATACAGAGACAGGGAGATCAGACTGAAAAGACACCTACCATGTTTATGGATAAACGCCAGCCCTTGCAATATCTGATACATAATATTTCTGATGACTGACTCAGGGAACAATTTGTTTCTGGAAGAAATGAATACATAGTCATGAAATTCTGTTAGCCTTTCTTGGCCTTAAGATACTGGCTAATGGTGTAATTTATAGATTCATAGTGTTAAAGGTCATAAATTTAAAGTGTGTTCTGATATTTCATAAAAACTCAAATCCAACAGTGAATGTATTTCATATATATTCAATAGTTAAATTCTTTTTTATTGGTTCCTTTTAGTTATACATGACAGTAGAATCCATTTTGATAATATTATACAAGCATGGAATATTTCTTATTCTAATTAGAACTCCATTCTTGTGGGATTCACTTAGGTATTTTCATATATGAAAATAGGAAAATTATGTCAGATTCATTCTACTGTCTTTCTTATTCCTATTCTCCCTCCTTCCCTTCATTTCCCTTTGTGTAATCTACTGAATTTCTCTTCTTCCCCTCTGCCCCCATTCCTGCACTATATTGTGGTTTAGCTTCAGCATATCAGTGGAAACATTCGATCTTTGGATTTTGGGGATTGGTTTATTTCACTTAGCATGATAGTCTCCAGATCCACCTATTTACTGGCAAATGTTATAAAGTCATTCATCTTTATGGTTGAGAAATGTGTATATATATATATATATATATATATATATATATATATATATATATATTCCACAATGTCTTTATCTATTCATCTGTTGTGGGGCACCTAGGTTGGCTTCATAGCTTAGCTTCAATAGCTAACTTCTAAACTGTCCCAAGAGGAACAAAGTAAATTGCAAAACTGAATCACTATCAGATAAACCAATGGTCTAAGAAATCTGTATTATGTAGGCTCTAAGAGTTTTAAGGGGCATGCATATTTCAGTTTTATATTGCATATTAGTAACTATTACTGTACTTCTGAAGTCCAATAGAAATACACTAATAGTTACAAATGTAAGTCACTAATATACTTGGTTTCTAGTAGCCACGTTTTTAAAAAAGCAAATGAAACAGATTAACTTTGAAATTTCTCTAAAAATTTTTATTTTTAATTTATTTTTAACTAAAAATTATACATATTAATCTATTTCAATATGCAATCAATGTAAAATGATTAAAAATTTTCTTTTTTTTTGTACCAAGTTCTCCAAACTTGGTGTGTAATTTATTGTATGTTAATACCACAGTTCAACTTAGGTATTTCAAGAATTTTCAACTTAGGTATTTCAAGAATTCAGTAGCTACATGTGACTAATGGCTACAGTATTAACAGTGCAATTTTAATTGTGTTCACATAATGTCCATAGTAAGATTTCAATAAGGACTAAATTAAGGCTGCAAAATATGAATCTCTGCCAGGCCACCAACTGAAGTGACCAACAATTAATATTTTGACCTTTAGAGATTCTGTCTACAGGTTTAATAATTAAAATGAGAATTTCCTTGGGATTGGTAATTATCATTCACTTAGACATTCTCACCAGTGATTTTATTAGGTCCTTTCTTGAGAGCTACTTCAGTTCTTTCTCCATTCTTTTTGGCAGAGCTGCATCGGGCATGGGGCATGCTGGGAAGCACTGTACCCCTGAGCTAGGTTCCCAGCCCTAAGATTAGATGCTTTGATAAGATGCTTGAGAGGACAATAAAGATAATTTCCTTACTTTTGCCTAAGGCCAGCTTTATTACTGAATATTATAGTATGGGTAGACTTAAAAAAAAAAGCATATATATATATATATATATATTTTTTTTTAAAGAAGCATATATATTTATTTATATATAAATATTTTAATATTATTTATATATAATATACAAACATATATAAAATCAATAAACAAATATAATACATTACACATTATTTAATATTATTTATATATTATATATTATTTACATAAATATATAATAATTATTTATATATAAATATTTTTACATAAAAATATTTACCTTGACTTCTGTAGAAGGTGGCTATGTCCCAGCTAGTCCTTCAGTATAAAGAGCTACCATTCAATAAAAATAATAACTAATGGGGCTGGGGTTGTGGCTCAGCGGTAGAGTGCTTGCCTAGCCCTTGTGAGGCACTGGGTTAGATCCTCAGCACCACATAAAAATAAACAAATAAAATAAAGGTATTGTGTCCAACTACAACTAAAAAAATATTTAAAAAAATAATAACTCCATTATTTAAATCCACCTCCTGGAGTGATAAATCTATATATCATAATGTATGGCATATTGAAAGGATCCAAGAAATTCATGGAAGAAATAATATCCAAAATACAGTTTGTATAAAATTAAGACATACCTGTCTTTCATTAATTGATAGAGGTTTTCTTTCATATATTCAAATATAAAATAAAGATGGTCATTTTCTCTGATAACTTCTTTCAGTTTAATCACATTGGCATGATTAAGTTTCTTCAGAGACTGCAAAACAACAAAACATTTAAATTCTTAAAGCAAATTTATAGAAGTTGGAAAAATCTTATCAATGCTAGGTATGATAACTACCTTAAATAATTTTCCATTTCATTTAAATTATTTAGTGAACTGTATTTTAATATCTCCATAATCTAAAAAGAATCTTAGAATATCTGCTTAAAGCAAGTAGCAAATATTTTAAATAATGAATGCAAAATAAACCTAGTCAATAATTTCCACCAAACATTTTCAATCTGTCACATTTTCTCAGTCTATTTAATAGGTCTAACTTTTTTTCCTGATTTAGCCATGTGAAACTCCATGTAAAAGTCTCCAAAAATTGTGCCAATATAAGGAAATGGTATGTTATAGTTTGGAAAGTTGTCTTTCTTTTGATAATATGAATTTAAAATGCTCTTTTAAAAGTGAGAGAACTTTCAAATATGAAGATAGTTATTTTCTGTTCTCCACTAACATCAGAGCAAGAAGAAATGAGAAATGTCTCCAAGAAGGTAAAGGGAAAGCAGACACAATTGTCTTTGGAATGCTTCCCACAGAGAACAGACTGCTGTCCTAGCCACTGTCCCCAGGTCCGCCGGAGAAGGAGTTAGGGCTTCAAATGCTTTCCATCTCTAAGATTTACCTTCACTTCTCTCAAGTTCATACATTCGTCCCAAGAATAGAACTTTCTCTTCATCCTGAAATAAATAAAGAAAACGTTTAACATACAGGGTGGAGGAATACAAGGTACAAATCTGGGTAAGCTGATACTTCTCTTTTTTGTTTAGTTTCTTAAAGAAGATCAGCTCCTCCGGCCTCTCAAGGCTGTTGGTAAAGGCTCTTGCCTGTCTGGTCTGACATTCTGCTTTAGCACAAAGATGCATTACCATTAATCTTCCTTTCCAGGTGAGTCCTTAACAGTTTCCTAATCAGTTTAGTTATGCTTTGCTCAAAGAGCCTCTTCCATATTTCCTTTCTTTTTTGGAACTTAAAAGATGAATATAAGCAGGAGCAGTGGTGCACTCGTATAATTCCAGTGACTCGAGAGGCTAAGGCAGGAAGATCACAAGTTCCAAGCAATATGGCAAGGCCCTAGGCAACTCTGTGAGACCCTATCTCGAAAAATGAAAAGGGCTGGAGATGTGGCTCGGTGGTAAAGCACCCCTGAGTTTACTCCTAGTACCAAAAAAAAAAAAAAGAAAAAAAGAAAAGAAAAGAATAAGCAACACTGTACCTCAGAGAGGGACGGGGGAAGAATCACAGTTTTTTTTTTTTCCAACTTACAGAAAATTTTTATTAAATGATATATTGATGTGCAGGATTTCATTTACCAGATGATTCTTTTATTTTTATTTATTTTTTATTTTATTTTATTTTTTTTCATTGTTCAAATACTAAAAGTTTATTGTTTTTTTTATAATTTTTATTGTTGGTTGTTCAAAACATTACATAGTTCTTGATATATCATATTTCACATTTTGATTCAAGTGGGTTATGAACTCCCATTTTTTACCCCGTATACAGATTGCAGAATCACATCGGTTACACATCCACTGATTTACATATTGCCATACTAGTGTCTGTTGTCACAGTTTTGGTAGCAAACTTAGTCAGTGATTTGATCAGACAACTTTTATATCATTACCTAGCTTTAGAAAAGAGGACCATAAAGTTAAATGGCTTAAGCTGCGAAGACTCAGAGCAAGAAGGCTTTAGAAGTAGCTTGCTTGCTTCCTTTAGACTGGAGGCTGAGCCAAGCCTTTCCTGGATTTTGTCCTTTTCTTTCCCTCTTCCATCCCAGTGTGGATACCATTAGAGATGCATACCAAGAGTGAGTGTATTTAGAGTAATCAAGCAATTCCATTATGCATACCATAGGTAGAAGCTGTGTTTGCATATGAATAGATTTGTAATCTGGTTCAATGTCAGATACGAGATGTGTTCTAAAAGATCCTCAAGAAGCTTAGTGCTACATTATTAATTAGAATAAATCTCATAATCCAGAGCCTCTACCAGGGTATAACACACAGTGGAGGAACCGGGAAAAGAGCCGGCAGCACATTACGGTTAAGGACACAGGATGTGAGCTGTGGAGCTGAGTGGCCTCGCAGCAAACCCTGGCTCAGCAGCTCACTAACTAATGACCTTGGATGAGTGACGTCATGGCCCCTCTGTGCCTCAAATTCTTTAGCCATAAAGGAAAAGTATATTGCATAATGTTTAATTCAGGACTCAGTAAACAGTAGATATTCTTATTTTCACCAGTTATCTATGATTGACTATAGGACATGTAGCACATCACTGTTATTATCCCTAAAATACCCTTAATGAATCAGAAATTCAACTCTAGTCAAGTACTAGAAATTTATGAAGAAATGAAATCAAGGGTTTATCAGTGTACCGAAAGATACTTTTCAGTATTACAGATTCATAAAATTTCTTGCTAAAAATATAAAAGTTAAATGTAGCATAATACTGAATTTAAAATAAAAATCAGGGCTGTGATTGTGGCTCAGTGGTAGAGTGCTCACCTAGCATGTGCGAGGCCCTGGGTTCAAAGACCCTCAGTACCACATAAAAATAAATTAAATAAATAGATAGATAGATAAATGTATTGTGTCCAACTACAACTAAAAAAATCAATTCAAAATATAGCTAGAAAAGAAAATTCACTTAGTAGAATGATCACATGTATCCCAAACTGCATTTATTATCTGCTATGATTCTTAAAAAACAACTTTCTAAGATTAAAAAAAGTATCTAATCTTTTAGAAACCAGATAAAAATATACTCAAAAACTTTTCATAATTCAGTAGTAATTGACACTTGCAAAATCTGTATTCTCTTCTTCCATATTTACTAATATGGTTCTTTCTTTCCAGCAATTACTATTTCTCAGCAATGCTTCTTCTTAAGGTGACATATGTATCTATCAACTACAAATACAGATATTCCTTGCACAATAATTATCCCAAAGACAATCCAGCTTCTTGGTATAGCTAATAAAAGGCATTTCCTTTTAGGTTCCTGCCATTTTCTCTCATTTTTCCATTTGTCTGCCTTCTACTATGTACCAGAAGAATGAGCCAGTCAGAGATGATTGCTGTGGTATTTCCTATCTGTTAGAGGATCTAGACTTCAGACAAGTGAACACAAAGCACAAGCAGAAATGAGTTATAGGGACCCTGAGCGAGAACAGCAAGGAGATCTTTTAGATCAATGGTCAGGCCATCTTGATAAGAGAGTATGTCAGCTGAGACCTCGAAGATAGAAGGTACTTGATACGAAGACGAAAAATAAGATTCAGGCAGACAGAAACAGCTAGGAAGAGCTGGCTGTTAAAGGAGTGGGAGTCCAATCCAGACCAGTTGTTATTTCTCTAATGCCTTGAGCTAATTTTCATGGCTACTCCCAATAACTCCTGGTAGGAAAATGATCATGCTGCTCTCCTAGGTCACCCTTCCTGCTCTGCTGCTCCTGCACGGCGCTCACCATCTGTGAACACCTTCAATAATGTACTTCTCTTTTCCCAAGTATAAGTTCCTTGGGAACACTCTTAGATGCCTACATCTGGTTGTGGCGCATGACAGGTGCTCAATAAATATTTGCTAAATGACTGGATGCATTTCTGTACCCACAGGTGGCTCACTGAGGACATAAGTTCTCACACCCAGGAACACCTCAGAAATGGAGTTGCCTCCCAAGTCCTTCAGGGTGGAAGCTTCATGAACATTGATCTCAATGAGGTGAAGGAATCTTCCTCCCCTGCCTTGCATGCACTGTAATGTCACAGCTTTCGAAATTTGAAGTGTCTTGGTTTCCCCCTTGTTGTTATTGTTTAGAGACAGGGTCTCTCTGTGTTGCCCAGACTGGCCTTGAACTCTGGTGCTCAGGAGATGCTCTTGTTTCAGCCTCCTGAGCAGTGGAGCCATTGTGCTCCGCTGTTATAGTTTTTTTTTAATGGCAGCAGATAAGTGGTGCCATAAATTAAAATCCCCCAAAGGGCCTCTTCAAAAAAGAACCTTTTATTTTATTCTTTAAATTCACTCACCCTCAACACATTCCGGTCAGTTCTGACTGCATCTCTAGACTGATGAAAAGCTTTTCTTATGAAATTAAGTACAGTTGTGTGTGCTTAAGGGATAACTTCTGATAAGTGTGTCCTTCCGTCACTTTGTACTTGTGTGAATGTCTTAGAGTGCTCTGACACAACCTAGATGGTGGGGCCTCCTGTACACGATGCTCTTTGGTGCAGACCGTGTGAATGAGGTCCATGCAGCGTGCTGTCATATATACGGTCCATCATTGAAAACGTCATGCAGCATAGAACACCAATTTCTTTCCCGCACTCATATTCTCAGATTGTCCCACCCCGTTGGACATCTCCATCACCACACACACCCCCGCTTCTCCTGGCCACCTCTGCTGTGCTAGCCCTTGTCCTCCACTCTGCTTTTCAGCCTCGTGGATAACTGAGTGTGTCCCATTCTAACAGCACCCACCCCCACACCAACTCCTTGTTCCTCTGTAAAAGGTTTTTAGAATGAAAAATACCTCCTTCCATATAAGCAACTTCATCTCAAGGGGACATGCTTACTGTCTACTTTGAAGACCAAGGACCAGCAGCTCTTCTCCATCTGCACATTCAGAATGTATTCAGCACAGAATTTATTTTATTTGGGGGGGAGGAATGGATAGATTCAAAATGTGTTAGACCTAGAATTTTTATGGCCTAAATTGAGACTGCTGAAATTTTTATGCCATCAAGCATAAGATGATGGTCCTGATCGGATATTATGGGATGTGAGTGGTTTGGGTAAAAAATAGGGATGCACAGAGAACAGAAATCAAGGGGTCTGTCATCTACCATTTTCAGGTGAAGTTCATTCCTTTGCATAGGAATTTATGAGAAAATGCAAAGTCTTCTCGAGTGGCTCTTGAAGCAACTTAAGGTGAGCTCCACCCTGAATCTCCCTTCTGCAGACTGAGGAGCACCCACGCGGACAGTCCTGCCGGCGGCCTGGCTTCACAGTCCCCCACTCCAAAATGTTCTCTTCTGTCCTGTCACAGTCACTCAGACACATTTGATCATCACAAGGGACAGCTCTTGAGTGGCTGCTCTCCAAGACCTCACCTTTAAAAATGTCAGACTCTGGCTGTAACCCCGGCCCTTCCACCATCATTACCCCAGAATGCGTTCACACTCCCCCTTTTCAAGCTTTGCTACTCCTGCAGTTGCCTGCTTGGCTCTGCTGGCCTCTCAAGACACCCCCCTCTCCCAGCTTCCTGCCACTCTTGCTGGGCGTCCTCTGGTCTCTGCCTTCCCTACAGCTGGTGGAGATGGGGAAAAGTCACCTCAGTGCTCGAAGAGGCTCCGCTTCCAAGTCTGTCCACAGAATCTCAGGGGGACTCTCACTGGTATCCGGCAATTCTTCTGTGACTTCAGTTACCTGGTTACACATTCTTCCCAACTATCCAAAGCCCAGTACCGCTGTCACCATCCTTCCTTCTATTCTTTGCTCTACTGCAGTCTAGCTGATCTCTTCTACAGTTTCATTGGACTGACATTTACTGTGGCCACCAGCTATGTCATAGTCCCCCAATCCAAGGAACAACACAGCAGATAATATGGTGTGGATACCAAAAGGCCATTTCTAGCACTTTACTTTTGCCTTCCACTATAGAGGCTGGAAGAGTAAAAACTGTCTCCTTGCATGTCCTTGAAGTAGGGAGACCAAGACCCAATTCTAGCCAATAACATGAGACGGAAGTCCTTAGGGCTCTAAGAAAGAAATAATCCTTTCTTAAAGGATAGGAGAAGAGTTTGCTGGTATTATTCTTCCTTCTTCCCATCTTGAACATAGATTAATGCCTAGAGGTAAAGTAGCCATAATGTGGTCATTAGGTGACATATTTGAACAACAACAAAAAAGTGTTAACTGCTCAGTATGAAGAAGATAGAAAAGATCTATATTCTTTGGGTACCTTGTTGTATCAATAAAAGAGTTCTGGAATCAATACTTCAGATATGTCAGAAAAACAAATCATTTATCTAAGTCATCATTTTTTAACTTATGTGTTTGTTACTTGCAGCAAGATGCATTCCTAAACAATACAGATGCATTTCAGTCACTAGCTATTACTTATCTTCCAGTTGAATACGTCTCCTTTTAAAACATCTTTCCCCTGGGGTTATTTTCTACACTCTCTGGCTCCCCCCTATTCTCTCAGTGTTCTTTGTAAAACTCTCTTCCAGAGCCCACCCTTTATATGCTGGGGTTTGTCAGTCATCTGTGTGAGGACTTCTTTGCATCTCCCTCTATAGAGTTTCAATTGCTATTGCAGACTAATTCAGGTTAAGTATACCTTATCCGAAATGTTTGAGACAAGAAGTATTTCAGATTTTGGATTTTGGAATATTTGTCTATGTATGATGAGATATCTTGAGGATGAGACCTAAGTCTAAATATGAAATTCATTTATGTTTCATATATACTTCATATATATAGACGGAAGGCAATCTCATAAAACCTTTTTAGTGTGCCTGCATTTTAGCTGTGATCTCATGTAACTCCACGCATGAAGTGACTATGGAATTTTCCACCATCATATCCTATTGGTGCTCAAAAAATTTCATATATGGGATTGTTTGAATTTCAGATATGTGGATTAGGAATGCTCAACTGATAATTCCAAATAACCAAGCTAGAGCTTTGAGCTTTTAAATGCAAATATAAAATTTGGTTTGTAAATCTGGTTACCTCTATTCATTTTAATAATCTTTTCCCTCCAAGATTTCATACACACTATTCTTACTGACTGGATCATTCTCCCCCACCCCACCTTTTTTTTTTTACATACACGCATGCTGGAGATTAAATCCAGGGCCTCGTGCATGCTGGGTGAGTGCTCTACCACTAAGCTAAATCACCAACCCATCCCCCTCCTGTTTTTTTGTAATTGTTTTCTCATTCTTGAGTGTGGGAAGCCATCCTGACACGTGACTGGGCGACTCCCGTTAAGGGTCTGAGGCTTCTGGCTGTGTCGGAATTTTCCCGGCCCTTTCCTGATGAGAGAACCCGTCCGTGTGGGGGTGTGACTGACCACTGACCCCGGGGGCCCAATCACTGACCCTGACCTTGGAGTGCAGTCCCCCCTCAACCTTCATTGGATGGAATTATCCCCTGAATTTCTTGTTCCCCAATAAAAGGCTACTCCCTGGCGGGTTCACTCTCTCTCTCTCCTGCTAGCCCTGAGTAATCCTTGCTGCCCTGCTGGGCGGTTAGAGGTTGGAGCCAGAGAGGGGAGCCGTCTCGGACCTGGCAATAGAAATAAGGTAACTGAGTCTGTGTGTTTTATTTCGATCTCTTCTAACTAACTTTATGCCTAGAACCTCATTAATGAAACCATTGCGCAGGCCGCGTGGTAGACTTGAGGTCTCACTTTCTATGGGAAACCTTTTATAATACTTTTCTAGCATCACTTCTCTGTGTTCCCTAGGACCCAACAGCCCACCATCATAGGATTTAACATACTTTATGTTGTTGGCTTCTTCAATATGCACAGTAATGTGTCTCCCTTGTCTTTATTTTATCCTGAGCACCAAGTAAAATAAGAGTTTAGCAATTGTGTGCCGTGTGAATTTTTAAATTTTCTCAAGTCTTCCACAAGACTCATTCATTTCTGCTCTATCCTTGCTTCAGAACGCTGATGGACAGGGGATACTTAATGTGGCAGACACCCTGAGCTAACTATCCAAGAACCCTTCTTCTCATCCTCTTTATGGACAGAGCTCAGCTTTGCTACAGGGATACAAAATGTCCAGCCAGGTACTCAGTTTCCCAGCCTCCCTTATAGCTAGATGTGTCATGTGACACAGTCTGGCCAATGGGAAGTAACCAGATCTCCTCTGGATAGGACCAGGGGAAAGATTTTGCTTCTCAAATTTTAAAAGAGTAAAATAACTAACTGGCCTCAGCCCTTCCCGTTTCTTCTTCCTTGGAACTCATACTTAAAGCCTGGAGCAGCTGCAGCTATTTTTGGAAGACAGAAGAGCCTACGTCTGTGATGATATCATTGAGACAGGGTACTAGCCTGAGCTGCCTACTCAAGACTTAAAAAAGAAAATAAAAGCAGGTTGAGATCTAATTCACATATTATAGAAGTCATTCACTTAAAATATATAACTCAATGGCTGACCTGTGCCAAGACTTTTTATTATGTGTGAAAAATAAACCCCTATTTAAGTTACTTTTGGCTGAGGCTTTTAATATTTCAATCACCAAAGCATTCCTAAATTACACCTCAGGGCTCTTCTTATCCCTCAATCTATTTGACTTCTTAGAGTATTGGTCCCCTCATTGCTCCCAACACTTTACCTAGGTCCATGCAAGTGAGACCACAAACACACGTTTTTACCACACGAACAAAATAATGAGCATTTTGTCACAGAGATCCGAATGTGGTGACCTTCCATGATACCACAAGACCCAACCCCTTTCCTTTCTCCGGCGTTCTTCACCAGAAGTCACAGTTGTCAGGAATTTGTGTGTATCTTCCAGGCCTTTAAAAATATTTTTCTAAAAAATCTACTGTGTATTAAAAAGTACTTCTTTGTGGGTTTTCACATAATCATTTTAATCTACAAATGAGGAGAATTTCATCTCATTTCTCTAACATGTCCATTTCTTTGGTTTCTGCCCAAATACTCTAGTCAGGAGCTCCAGGGCAAGACTGACCAGCACAGGGACATGGCTCACCTGGGCTCAAGGCCAGCTTTCCTGGCCCTACTTCTGCTGAATCATACAGCTTTTCTCAGACTAGGAAAGTTTCTTTTTATTCCTATTTTCTGAGAATTTTTCTTTAAATCATGAATAGGTGCTGAATTTTATTAAGTCGCACTGATACATCTTTCTTTTATATTATTGTACAAGGCCTACTTATTTATTAATAAGAACAATCTGAAAATATAGTTTCCTTATTCATGTAATGTTTTGTACAATGATATTTTTTTAATTATTTTTTATTTATATATGACAGAGGAATGCATCAGAATTCTTTGTGTGTGTGTCTTCATACATGTACTTTGGATAATGATGTCCATCATATTCCACCCTCATTTCTACCCCCTGCCTCCTCCCTTCCCCTCCCACCCCTCTGCCCTATCTAGAGTTGGTCTATTCCTCCCAGCTCCCCCTCCCTACCCCACTATAGGATAATGATATTTTAAAATATTTGTTAAGAATTTAAATTTTAGATCGTCCTACTTCTGGGGACATGGTAATCAGTCTCATCCTGGTGGAAGCCCACTGCCATGTCGTAAGAGGCCCACGTGAAGAGGAATGGAGGCCTCATCAACCAGTACAAACTCACCAACCCCGTGAGTGTCATGGGTCAAGTCGTGTCCTTCAAACATTCCTAGGTTGAAGACTGAATCCCCAGAACCTCAGTGTAACAATATTTGAATATAGTTACAGTCTTTATAGAGGAAATAAAGTTAAAATGAAGTCATTAGGTTGGTTCCTAATCCAGTATAACCAGTGCCCTTATACAAAGGGGAAACTTGGACGCAGAGATAGGGATAGGGAGATGATGCTGCCAAGGAACACAGAAACAAGACGGCCTCCGAGAGCCGGGAGAGAGGCCTGGGACAGATCCTTCCCTCCCGGCCTTCAGAAGGGACCACTCCAGCAACACTCTGACTTTAGACTTTCAGGCTCCAGAATGGTAAGAAAATTAATGTGTTGTTTAAGGCCATCCAGTCTGTGATTTTGTTACAGTAGTCCTTTATGGTATGGAAGGAATTGTGTCCCCACCTCCCCCAAAATTCACATGTTGAAGTCTTCACCCCCTAGCCCCTCAGACTGTGTCTGTATTTGGAGCTAGGGTCTTTAAAGAGGTATTTAAATGAGATTCTTAGGAAGGGCCATTAATCTGATCTGACTGGTGTCCTTATAAAAAGAGGAGGTTATGACTTAGACACACACAGAGGGAAAAACCTCCGAAGACACAGAAAGATAGCCATCTGCAAGTCAAGGAGAAAGACCTCAGAAGAATCCAACCCTGCCAGCACCTTGATCTCAGACTTCCAGCCTCTACAACTACGAAGAAATAAATGGAAACAAATTTGTCTTATTTGGCTGGGCATGGTGATTCCCACCTATAATCCCACCTAACTGGGAGGCTGAGGCAAGAGGACTGAAAGTTTGAGGCCAGCCTGGGCAACTCAATAAGACCCTGGCTCCAAATAAAATTTAAAATAGAGCTGAGAGTATAGCTCAGTGGTAGAAGCCCTGCATTGGATCCCTAGTACTAAAAAACAATAAAATTCTGTTTTTCAAGCCACTCAGACTGGCACGGAGCCCTAGCAGACTAATATAGTGAGCCTCACTGAGAGTTGATCATCCAGCTCCAGTCAAGCCTTCAGAAGACTGCAAGCTTGGTCAATATCCCCGTGCCAATTCCTGAGAAGCCCCAAGCCATAACTACCCAGTCAAGTCACCTCTAGAATCTTAACCCACAGAAACTGTGTAAATTAATAAATATTTGTTCTTATTTTAAATCGCTAAGTTTTATGGTATTATATTATGCACTAACAGATAAATACAACAGATTAAAAAAAATAATTAACAATATTTAATGCTATTTAACTGGCATGCTCAGGAAAATATCCTATGCCATTCTGAAGTCAATTTCACACTGAAATACCACCTTACGTTGAAGCCTATTGTTTTAAAAATAATACTAAGTTCTACTCTGTATTCAACTTAATTTTTTTTATTATGGTGCTGGGATTGAACCCAGGACAGTCACGGCACATGCGAGGTAAGTGCTCTACCACTGAGCAATACCATCTGTCATCAACTGATGAAATAAACACCATTCATTACTTTTAGGTTGAGTCTAAATGTATTATTCATAAAGAGCAGAGCACTTCATGCTTTTCATTTATCAGTATATCTGGAAAAATCAGAAAATTAAAGAAATGTATAATAGACTCCACAAAATATTCCCTTTGTCCAGAATAGCATCGCTCACTAGTCAAACAAGCATGGGATCTGAACTAGACCGCTCTTGGTGCTTGTTGGCAATCTCAAGCAAGCAAAGGAGAGCAAGACCAGAGCTGCACACGTAAGAATGGCACATACCTCTTGATGGCCACCAGCTCCCCAGACTCGTTACTCTTGCCCATCAGCACACTCCCGTAGGTGCCGTCCCCCAGCTGTCTCATGGTCGTGTATCGGTTCATCTTGGAAAAATTATGCAGCAGACGTTGTGGACTGAAATGACTTCCTTGTTGAATATCAATTTAAACACTTCTTTATCTTTACTCGCTTTTGCCCTCACTCTGTTGTTGTTACAGTGGTGACAGGTTTGTCATCCTTAGATTTAGGCTCTGCCTCAGGATTATGTAGGTTCATGAGACGCAGCAATAAGGAATCTGGCAAAGAAACACTGCTTCCATTCTTATGAACACCCTATAAAAAACAAGAGGAAAATGCGTTTTAACTCAAGTGTCTCTGCAAAACATGTACTGCAACCTGGAGCACAGAGAGAAATCATCAATAATGACAGTACCATTCGTCAGCAAGTCATTTGTGTTATGTGGAAGGAAGATCACTGGCAACATCCATTCGTTGAATGCTTCATTCACTGTGCTATTTATCTTATGATTGTGCAATATTGGTTAATGATTTATTTGATTCCTTTTTATTGGATATAACCTATCTTATTCTCCAAATAAGATCCTGAAAAATGTGACATATAAACAGTATCAAGGGCTGGGGATAGAGCACAGTTGGTAGAGTGCTTGCCTCACATGCACGAGACCCTGGGGGTTCGATCCTCAGCACCACAAAAAAAAAAAAAAAAAAAAAAAAAAAAGAAAAGAAAAAGAAAGAAAAAAGAAAAAAAATATCTATTTTTGAATTAATTTTTGCATCATTTTAAATTTAGCATAATAAATTTAAAATTATACCCTTTGTAAAAATATTCCCAGATGATCAGCTACCCCAATTAGGTAAGGTAAAATATAACTAACCCTCTCCCCCACAAAGCAAACTTGTTTTACATGAAGAAAAGAACATTATTAAAGAACTTCATATTTCATTAAGGTAAAATGCCACTTTTACATTAAACCAAGAAAAAATTATGTGCTAATTAGGAATTCGTATCACACTTGATTCATATCAAGAAATGAGAAATAGAAAACTGAGGTTTGAATCTCAGCCAGCTTTCAAATCCCTGCATCACGGGCAAAACTTTCAATCTACTGGACTTGAATTTACGTAACTATGCAACAAGGTCATTTCAACACTAAAAGACCCCGTGAAACTATAAATATGTATTTTCTAAACACTTTGAGCCACCCCCTCAAACTCAGAGTAGAACAAAAGCTTAGTAAATCAGCTTTCTTTTTTTTTTTTAAACCATTATTTCATTATTACAATGACACTTTGCTCCAGTGACACACGTGAGTGGCCCTTAGATGGCAAGAGCCAGGTAAAAATGATTTGCTTATTTTATTGCTTGTGAACTGTGATCAACAATGAAGTCAGCAGAGCTATAGGCTATATCACTTCTTATTTTTTTATATAATTTTCTCCTATTTTCCAGACCTTTAATTTAACTTTAAAAACCCTTTTATTTGGAAATAAGTTCAAGTTTACAGATAAGGTGAAAGAAAGAACAATACAAAGAGTCTAGATTTACCCATTATGAACGTTTTGTCCCATTTCCCTTATTATTTGAGCACCTTGCAACCTTTTTTTTCCTGAACCATTTAAGTTTAACTTGCATGCATCATGACCCTGTACCCCTACTAAAGATGAACACAACACTTACATAAATCAATCCTACTCCAGTTTTCTCAGTTGATTCAATCATACTCTTTATAGCACTGTCCCCCTCTAGTTCAGGATAGAATCTATGATCAGTTTTTACATTTCATTGTCATCTGGCTATAAAGTTTTGTGGGGGAGGGGGTTAGTTATATAATTGCATGATTTATTTGTCTCCAAGTTAGGAAATTTTGTGTGTACATTGATCAATTGTTTGGTGGCTATAAAGTCTGATAGTGCATGACCAATTACAAAAGTAGAACATAAAACAGTACCAATCTTAAGTGCAAGGAAATTGTATTTGATTTTTCATTATAATTTGAATGACAGAAATTTACTTTTAAAATATTTTTGAGAGTAAATAAATTTGGAAAGAACTTCTTTATACATCTTTTTGAATTTCAAAAATAAGAAATTTATTATTAAAAGAACAAGGGACAGGGTCTAGATTCAAACCAGGTATCCTGCAAGTGCAAGCTTCCTTGAAGATGGATCCGGAGAGTGAATTTGGAACAGTCCTTTGGACAGCACTTTACCAAATGTAAAGCTTCCACTTCCTGGTTTATTTTCCAGTTTGTATCCTACCATCAGGAATGTCATTATCCGACTGAGCAGGAAAGAATCATGAAAGATTTTGGGCTGGAAGAGTTTGGAATTTTGAATGTTTTGGGGATTTGGGAATATTTACATCTTCATAATGAAATATCTTGGGAATGGGACCCAAGTCTAAACAAAAAATTCACTTATGTTCCCTATGCAGAGCCAGAAGGTAATTATATGCCATTTCAGGGTGCTTGTATCTTGACTATGACTAGTAACGTGTCGTCAAGTGTGGAATTTTCGACTTGCGTTGTTAATACTCAAAATGTGCTTCAGGTTTTGGAGCATTCTGGATTTGGGGTTTTTAGATTAGCAATGCTCAACCTGTATTTATGAAGCAGTTAGCACAGTATTGACATACACTATCCAGTAAAGACTCATGAACCCTATGTGAAACTCCTAGGGGAGGTGTGTTTTGGAATCCAGAAGTTTCCATATTTCATAAAAGTAATATAGTACATATACCAGTGTTGTGATATATTTTCAAGCCATATCTTAATATACCTGAAAAAACTACATGAAAAGAATACTAAATAAAATAGGTAAAGACTATAAATGGCCTCATGCCATTTAGTCTTGCTTTCTTATGAATGAATTTACTCAATTTTATTTTATTATTTTTTAGTTGTAGATGGACATAATATCTTTATTTTATTTATTTATTCTTATGTGGTGCTTAGAACCCAGTGCCTCACACATGCTAGGCAAGTGTTCTACCACTGAGCTATAAAACCCCAGCCCCTATACAATTTTATTTTAAACATTTTAATTTTCAGAGTTTTGTGGATTTCAAAATCACAGATAAGAAATTATAGATCTGTACATATTAGAAGGTAGAGGTATCTTTCAGGTTTTACTAGGTCCTAATTTTATTACTTCCTTAAACAAAGCACACACCTAGTATCTACCTCACTGCAATAACTAATCAGTTTTCTCCCACTGTTTGATTTTAGTTCTTCATTTTAAGGAAATATTTTTCAATACATTCCTATTTATCATTCTTGTTTTGTGTTTAGAAATCTCTCATTCTTTTTTTAAAATTCTTTGCTTTGTTAAAAATTACTTGTATTCCTCATTGAATTTTAAAATTTATGCTCTTTATCCATTTTATTTTAATTATGATTATTAGTGCATACTAATTGTGGCATTTTCATACATGCATATAACATACTTTTATTCTACTGAAATCTCTTGTTCTAAGACTTTGTGCTTAGTTGCACATGGTTAATATCAAAATATAAGCACCATTAAAAGGAATCACTGATTTTACAATGCCTTTTATAATTTGGTACTTCATTTAAAGATTATTTTTTCTCTCACTATGGCACTTTCATTTCAACAAAATAAAATTAGAGAAATTGCTTCTCTATTACATGTGGGAATTTAGATGCAATAAGGATATGTTGTAGTTGTCAAAATACCTAAAGATTTCGAACTCAAGCTTTCTGGAGAAAGATACACATGTACAGAGAAGTAAAACAATACTGTTTTTCCTGTTCACAGGAAATTGATGGAAGAATTCTGTGGGGCCTTTAAATGGCAGAGAGTTTGTATTAATTTAATAAGTATCCTACTTCACATAGAGAATAATCTCTTCAAAGGTACATGGAAAATAATTTAAGCTATGCTAACTCTGAAACCAGGATCTTAGAAAAACAAAACAAAACAATGAAAACAAAACCACAACAGTAGATTCCATTCCTATGTAAGGGTTACTTCATTTTTCTTAACTTAAGCCTAAACTAAATATCATAACAAATGCCAGCAATAGTTTGCTATTTGCCTTTGAAAAAGCAAAGTTTTTATAAGTGGCCTTTATTTATACATAGACACTGATTCAAAATATTAAGTTGTTAATATGGAAAAAGGTAAAAATCTTTGTACGTTATTCCAAACTAAAACACATGTTTTTCTTAATTTTCCCTGTATTTATGAAGCAGTTAGAGCAGTATTGACATACACTATCCAGTAAAGACTCATGAACCCTATGTGAAACTTTTGGGGGAGATGTAAATGTATTATGTGCTATGATTTAACAAAACCTGTATTAAAACTTATTTCTTATCATTTGAGAGTTTGTTAAATCAGCATTTTGCAGATTATCACCAGCACATTAGATTGCTAACCACTCTTGCTAAGGTGACATACACCTGTACCTTTTGTAGAAATGTGCTCTTTGTAGGTTTACTGGTCCTTTCTGGTTAGATAGCAATATAGAGAATATATATCATATTCCTCATGTCAGTAATATGGTGAAATAAAACCATGGAAGGATAAATGACCTGTCTATGATCAATCAGAGAATCATTGATGGAGTTGGCTTAATTCTTGCATTAGATTTGAAGCCGTTTTTTTTTTTTTAAAGTCTAGTCACCAATTAAAACAACTGGTTCTTATGCAGTTATGATCACTGATGCAGCGGAAGGAACCAAACCATCCATGCTCTAAAACCCCACAACTTAACATTAAAATTCCTAACCCAGCTCCTCACCCTGAACCACCACCATACTGCTGGCTGGTGGGCAAGCGCAAGAGGTACGACTCCCTACCCTGAAACCTGGGGCTGTACCTGGGTCTTCCAGATACCTGGAAAGACACTGAAAAATCCCAGAAACAATAAAGGGAAAGTGTGAGATGTTAGAACTTGGAAGGTTAAGGGAGAAGGAGTCATGTAGAACTCCCCTCATAAAAATAATTCAGAACTGAAGCCGAATGATGGCATCACCTCTTTTTTTAACCAAATGATTTTCATGATAATGCTTACTCAAGTAAGGTCCTGAGAGGCGGAAAGTAACTAGGCAATTCTGGGAGAGGACATGCTGCTTGAAAAGGAATGGAAGAGGAGCTACTCCCAGAAGATGATTATGGTGGACACCAAGGCAGGGTGGGGGTTGTTATTTAGGAAGTGGAAACAAGTGCAGAGGTAAGAGGGCCACCAGAAACAATCAGCATGTGCCCAACAATCTGAAGAAAAGGAATTAACTGCCTCTCTCTTTCACCCAGTGAGAGCATCAATCACCATCACCACCACTACCTTGAGGTGAGAGGGTGACCCTAAATCTGCACCAGTACATCAGTAAACAGAACACTGAGTCACTGATGACTTTCTGCATTGGCCTGGAAGCCCCACCATTTTGGGAGGGGCTGTTAGGGAAACTTCATCCTGCCTACCTAACCGACTTGCAGATAAACACGGTTTATCTGAAGTAACGAAGGTTACTTCAACTGAGGAGAGCTATAGGTCAGAGAATACTTAAGAATTAGGGAAGAATAAATATGGAACCCAACTGTTTCCCAGCTTCTTTCTTTTGAGGGGTGAGTGGGGAACATTATGGATATGACATGGATTTTTATTTATTTGTTTGTTTTTGCAGTGCTAGGGATTGAAACCAGGGCTTTATGCATGCTAGGCAAGCACACTACCACTGAGTCACATCCCTAGCCCTGTCACATCGATTTTCTAAAATGTTTTGATTTGTAGGTCTGGAAGAATCTGCCCAGTTTAAACCCTACCTAACCTTTAAAAACAAATTCGTATACTGTGCTCTCAAACATAAACTCTAGAAAGGCATCTGCTGAGCCATTATAATCAACAAATAAACAGCTCTTTGGGGTAAGAAGCCGATTACTTCAGCTTTCCTTTCAATCCTCTGAAATATAGGGACAATGGCCTCGTGTTAAGAGGCATGGACATAGCCAAGCACTGTGCTGCATGCCTGTAATCCCAGCTACTGAGAAGGCTAAGGTGGGAGGATTACAAGCAGAGGTCAGTCTGGGCAATTTACTGAGAGCGCCATCTCAAAAAAAGCCAGCAGGAAGGGCGGGGCATGGATATAAAGGCAGTTTAAAAAATAAATATTTCCATGTATTTACTCACTGATAGCACATATACAACTGCTTTTATCAGTGCAGTATTGCAAGGTCCTAAGCACATTACTAGTTAAAACTAGTATATGTAACTAGTATATATAACTCAAAACAGACGCCTGTGGTTCTCCACTTCACACATAATACTGCTCTACAAGTTACATCTATTCTTCTTTGTTGAGCAATGGAAAGCTAGTTCTGCAAAATAAGGATGTACTAACATGATTGCTTATGTACTTGAATATCTGAAATATATATGCAAAAAAAACTAAGAAAATGTAATACAACTATTATCCTCAATTAAGTTAACAGAATTGTTAGCAACTCAGAATTTTCTACAAGAGAGCTACAATATTTATAGACTTTTCTACAAGTTAAACGCTTGTGATTTTTTTTAAAAAGACACTTATTTAAAGAGTCTCAATAATAGACTTTCACTAGTAAATACCCTCATAATTTACCCCTTATTCTAGTTTTCTTATTTTTATCTAAGTGTACAATTACAGTTTAAGTGCACAATTACTGTGAACTTGGCCTTTATTCTCAACAGCTTTGTCCAGCAAATAAGGGATTAGATAAGATTAAAGAAGATCAGCACAGAGGGCAAATGGAGGTTAACACCTGTGTCTGCTAATCACAAAATAGACAAGGTTTAGAAGTGTTCAACTTGTCATGGAAAACATATTATCATGGTATCATTTCAATACTGGCATTAATGTTGTAAAACAGAACTGGAATTAGCATTTTTAAAAAGACCAACTTTGTTAATGAGCAAAAAAGATGTCAAATTAACTACCTTATAAGTTTAAGAAATTCGATGATGGGTTATTATAATGGGAAACAAAGACTCTGTCCTAAAAAAAATAAAAGCACAGTGTTCTGTGTGAACATTTACAAATTATTTAAAAACTAAAAGAAACAAACCCACACCTAGCAAGAGATCAAGCATCCTGCCCAAAGCCAGCTGTCTGTGGCCTTAGTGAAGGTGGCCTCCTTCAGGTGAAGCTTCTCCTTCCCCCACCGCGATTTTGACTCAAGGGGTTGGATCTTTTTCTGGTCAAAATTAGTCTGATAACTTCCAGTTCCCTCTATGAGAATTCCGTTATCATTAGAATAAATGCTCATTTTAAAAGATTAAACACAACTACATAAATCTCTTTGTAGAGTTGTAACTATAACCACTAAAACCGCCCCCGGACCCTCAACTCTTGCCTGCCCCTAAATTAAAATGTCTTATTTGCAGTATTGGGACAGTTTTGCTCTGATCTTTCTCCGCAAACCAGAGCCCTTAAAGGCTCCTGAGGCCGGTGTCACGCGGTTTGCAGCGAGGGCGTCGTCCAGACAGCCGCGGGCGGGGGCTCCCCGGGCACCCGCACCTGCTCCAGGACCCTCCCAGAGGAGGGTTTGGCGGGACGCCCCCCAGGGTCTCCGGGTGCCAGGATTCCGCTTTTACCAGCACGTCATTTAGGATGCACCGGCGAGGGCCGGATTTGGACCCCGTTTCTTTCTTCTCCCTCCTTTTAAATTTTGTAACCGCTCTGAACAAATCACTTTGGCTTCCTTCCCGAGGCGCAGTCCCGCCCCTCACTCCCAAAGGTAGTGTCCCCTCCATCCCAAGGCTGCAGGGCAGAGAAGGAAATGGGGTTCTGGAGAAGTTCGGGTCGGGGGTCTCTTACACTGAGGACAGCCCACCGTAATCCTCCACTCCGCACCGTCCCCCGCAGCGTAGACGGCGGGAAAGTGGTCCCGGGGGCCTGGGAAGCCTTGCTTGCCACCCGCGCCGGCGGACCCTCCCCGGCCGCTCCGCCCTCCCGGGACCCTCCTCCCGCCACTCCTTCCCCTACCGGCGTCCAGGTCCGGTCCCTCGGCAGAGATTGGCCCCGATAGGACTGGGCGCCGACGGGGCATGCCGGGCGGCCGCGCAGGACAAGCTTGGGCTGGGTTGGATAGAGGATGGTGGCCCCACAGCCCGCTAGGGATTACCCGCCCGCGCCGGCCGCTTACCTCTTTCGCTCTCCTGTGAAGCTCTGGCGTCCTGTGTGTTTCATCTCCTAGGAAACCGCGGGGGCACGGCAGCCCGCGCACAGCCGGCCGCTTACACCCCGCCCACAGAGGGTGTGTCCCATCAGGGTAAGCCCCGCCCTGTCAGAGCAAGCCCCGCCCCAAAATGGGGCGTGGCCCACAGACCACCTGGACCATCCTTTAAGCTTATGTTCTTGTCTGTTTTAAGGGTTTGAAAGAGTTTGCCTTCTCAGCCAGTTCTTTATTAGAGTTTGGTTTTGGTATTGCTCAGATTCATTCTAAAAAGTCTTGATTCTTTAAATCTGGTTCCCAGTCTGGGCAGGGAGAGGGAAGGGCGTATGTTTGCCTCCTACTGTGCTTTATTTGAATACTTTCTGGAGAAACCTGCTCTTGTATTGCAGTTCCTTATATTGGTCAATTTCTCAAGTATATAGTTTCTCCTGGCTTGCATTCTGAGTTTGTTTTCATTTATTCATTTAGAGAACCCACTCAGTACCAATCACAGGATTAGCAGCAATAACAAGGTAAATGGATGAATGTTGAATAAATGATTAAATAGTAACTAGAGTTGTGCAAAGAGAGCACACTGTATTGCTGCAAAAAAAAAAAAATCATATGGGCTGGCAGAAAGGTCCCATGAATCAGAAGCATGGGAGTTGAGACCATGGTGTATTTATTTAGTGATTTTTTTTTTGAAGTATCAGTCTTGGATTTGGCACTAGAATAGTGTCAAGGTAGAGCAGACAGACACACTCTTGACTCTCTCACATCATAGAGTGAAGTAGGCAGGCAAAATAAAAGAACAGGTTCAATCATAGAGACCTCTATGTCCATTTAGTCAGCCTAAGCCTTAATGTGCACGAATGAAAGGAACCAATTTCCCACAGAGAAAAAAGAATTTCCCACAGAAAAAAGAAAAGGGGCTATTGCTACTGATTGGGAAGAAATGACAAGGATCCAACTTACCAGTGGTGATGGAAACAGGACAAAGAGGGACACAATTCAAGGAATATGTCAGAGTTAAAATGGACAGGACCATCTGGCTCAGATGAGTGGTATTCAGTGAGGTTCATGAAAAGCGAGATATATTGAGATATAAATTGACAAAGCTATATTGGAAGAGGAGAAGTTGGGGATGGAGGGCATGAGAAATTACAAGCCCAGTTTTGAAAATGTTGAATTTGAGGAAAACCCATTGGAAGTTACAAAAAAGGTAGTTTAAAATATAAATTTGTAACTTAGGTTCTGTTAGAGGTGGAAATAAAGGTATATGGGGATGCTGTAAACAAAGTCATAAATATGGATGAGATAAATGGCAAGAAGAAAAGAGGGCCAGGATTCTGGAAAATGTCATCTTTTAAAAAGTAGTGAAAGAAAAGTAGGGATGAGAGAGAGAAAGAATGAAAAAGAAAAGTTAGAGAAGTGAAAGGATATATCTGAGACATACGGCATTTCAGAATGAGGAAAAGTAGATTTTTTTAAAAAGACTGAAAGAAATGAGGAAAACAAAAAGAAGATGGATGGTAGACTAGATAATCTAAAGAGCCCTCTGGCTCCATAACAACTAGCTCATACATAAAGCATAATTTTTATCATATTGTTGTGATAGGGAAAAATAGAAAGTCTCTAAATACTCCCAACCCCTTCTACAAGATATATGATACGAATCAGGAGCAATACTTTGTATATAAATGGCAAATGTGGTCTAAAGACAAATCCCATTTCTGCATAGCAACCAGTGGACCAAGTCTTAGGCTAGTAGCTGAGTTAAACAAAAAACTAGAAAATTAATCAGGAGACCTAATTGGAATCATTGCAGCAATCCATTATCTACAATGTCTACTGTGTAAAGTTCAATATTTCTTTGCAGAAGTTTCACGTGTCTTTAGAAAACATCCCACTGAAGGTGTACTATAAAGAACAGCTTTCTCAAGTTACTTCCATTGGGGCTGGGTTATGGATCAGTGGTAAAGTGCTGGTCTCACCTGTGTGCATACTGGCTTCCATCCTCAGCACCACATAAAAATAAATAAAATAAAATAAAATAAAGGTATTGTGTCAATCTACAACCAAGAATTATTTTTTAAAAAGTTACTCCCATTTATGTTTGTGTTTGGTCTATATAGTTAAGGTGAACATATAGTTAGGTACACATTTCTAATTGTATTCAATTTTAAAGCCCTCTCCATTCATGTAGTAGAACAAATATGGTAGGAAGTTTAAAAGAAAAAAAAATTACAGGGAGAGCAATAGCATGTTTCTGCATGAGAAGGCTCAATACCTTAAAGATGCCAATTTACCTGTACTGATCTCTAGATTCAGTCAATTCCAATCAAAATCCCTACAAGGGATTTCCCAAGAATTTATTAAGCTGGTTCAAATACTTAAAGAACACAGGCCCAAGAGGTATTAAACACTCCAGAAAGAATAAACTGGGTGAGTGAATGAGTGGGTAGCCAACCTGCCCTATTGGACATCAGATTTATTGTAAAGAAATAATAGATTATATAGTGTAGATGCAGGGATAGAGAAATTCTCCAAAGGAACAGAACAAAGAGCTCACATATAAACTCAGGCACATAGGGCAATTTGGAGAGGGACTCGAATCTCAAGGGAGAAAATAGACTATTCAACAAATGACAGAATAAGTAACCCATGTAGAAGAACTGGTATATACACACAATAGAGTATTACTTAGACATAAAAAGAGTGACTTTATGACATTTTCCAGTAAATGGATGGATCTGGAAAGTATCATGCAAGTGGAATAAGCCAATCTCAAAAAAACCAAAGGTTGAATGGTTTCTCTGATATGTGGAAGCTAACCCACAATAAGTGGGGAGGGATAGAAGAGAAGTTCAGTGGAGCAACCAAAGGGGAATAAAGGGAAAGAAGAGGGGGTAGGAATACATACATATTCACACAGGTACAACTAGGAATACATCACAGTGAATCTCACCATTGTGCACATCCACAAGAAATTAATTAAAAAAAAAAAAACTATGGGTAAATGGCAGAAAGATCCATAGAGGGAAGGAGAGGTACTGGGGTCTGAATTATAACAAGATATAGCCCATCATTTTATAGTTATGTTAAAGAGGATTCTAGTGTCATATATAATTCAAAAGAACCAATTTAAAAACCTGGAATTTGTTCTCTATTTCACACCTAAGCTTAAAGATGCTTGTACTAACTGGATTTGAAATAATTCAAGATAAAAAATTGTAATAAATTATGCCACATTTAAAGTGTGAAAAGAATTTAATCAATAAGGAAATATTGTATGTTTTATGGGGTACAACATAGCTGGTGAACATGTGCATTACTTTACATGTTTCTTGTCTGTTCTTTTAGCACTTTTCAAGAGCACAGTGATGTACCATGAATCTCTTGAACTTTGTCCTCCTATCTACAGGAATTAGCATCCTTTGCCAAATGTCTCCATAATCCTCTCACCTCCAAACTCTGGTAACTACCATCTTACTCTCTGTTTCTGTGAATCCAGCTTTTTCACACTAAAGACATAAGTGAAAGCATATGGTATTTGTTTTTCTGTGCCTGGCTTATTTTACTTACGGACATCCTACAGTTGATCCATGTTGTTGCAGATCACACACACACACACACACACACACACACACTCACCCATGCAATATTATTCAGCCTTAAGTTATAACCTTAAGTTATATATTGAGGGGAAGGATGGGAGGTAGGAAAGATGGTGGAATGTGATGGACATCAATTCCCTCGGTACATCTATAAAGACACAAATGGCGTGACTCTACTTTGTGTACAACCAGAGACATGAAAAATTGTGCTCCATTTGTATACTACGAACTGAAATGCATTCTGCTGTCATGTAAACAAATTAGAACAAATAAACAAATAAATTAATTAAAAATATTCATTGATTCCTAATGCATAAATACTTAACATTACAATGGGAAAAGCTTTATAAATATTTAAACAAATATATTGAAGAATAATATTTCCGGATTTTGGATAGAGAGTGATTTATTAAACAAGAAAAATGCCAACTCTAATAGAAAAGTAATGTTAGAGTATATTAAAGGGACAGGGCTGGGGATGTGGCTCTGTGGTAGAACACTTACCAAGTACTCATGAGGCCCTGAGTTCAATCCCCAGTATCAAAACAAACAAACAAAAGATTATTAATTCAAAAGAAAAGTGAAAGAAAATTATGAATGTATATTTCATAGTAAATACTAAAGATGAATGTGTTAGTCAGCTTTCCATCACTGTGACAAAAATACCTGAATACTTAGAGGAGAGGGAAAATTTATCTGGGGCTCATGATTTCAGCAGTTTAATCTGTGGTCAGCCAACTCCATTGCTTCTGGGCCCAAGGTCTCATAGCAGATGGAGGGCATCTGCTCCATTCATCACAGCCTGGATGCACAAAGAAGAGAAGGGGTGAAAGGGGAAGGGGCCACAGGGATGAAGGACCCTCCCAGGGCAAGCCCCCAGGAACCCACCTCATCCAGCATTCCCCACCTGCCCACAGTCATCACCCAGTCAGCTTTTAGGGGACAGCTCATATCCAGACCGTAACAACGAATAAACCTAATTGACTGACAGGCATGTGGGCAAGGATGTAGTGGAACAGGAACACTTACGTAGTGCTGGTGAATATAAATTGACACAAGTAAATTTTTTCTTCCTGGCAATACTGGGAACCACACTTAGGATCTGGCACATGCTAGGCAAGCCCCATACCAGTGGGCTGTATCCCCAGGCACAGCCAATGTCAAAGTTGAATACTCAATTACTATTTGACCCAGAAAATCCACTTCCAGGGGAATTTTTTTAAAAAAATTCCCAGGCCACACCTCAGATCAATTAAATCAAAGTTTATGAAAACAGAACACTGGCATTGATGTGATTTAAATATCCCCATATGTTTCCAAAGTGCTATCAAGGTTGAGAATCAACTCTCTAAAGAACTCTCTTAGA